ACAAAATAAGCCACGCCCACAGAACCAGTAGTAAAAAAATTTAGAACCCATCCCTGGTTGGGGGTCACCACAACATGAGGAACTGTATTAAAGGGTCGCGGCATTAGGAAGGTTGAGAACCACTGACTTAGTGCCAAGTCTGTCTGATAGGCCAGACATTTTTCACTTCCTAGCAAGTTATTTTTGGGAGAAGAGTAATTTTTGGTAGGGAGAAAAAATGTGCATTTTCTGCATCAGTACACTACATATATCAAAGTTGGTCAAAGGCATAATGAGCAGTTTATGTCATAATTCACTGACCCATCTGTGGATGATCATGGTATATAGAAGACTACATTGGAAATGTGAAAGAAATACAAGGCAAAGCGCATGAGAAGGATGCAAGCAATCTGAATCAAGATGGGTAATCTTTTGGAGTTGACGAATGCAACATGGAGGTCAAAGTGTAGGTTTAAGTATGAATGAATTTTGAATGAAAAAGTTACAATGTTTTAGAAAAAGTGAACTGGTGTCATCTAGACTACGGTGTGTGTATACGAAATGAAATTCATAGGCTGCTCCCAGCAGAATAAAAGTAAACTTGATTTTAAGAAAGAGTATGTAGAAGCTGGTTACAATGAAGTGAAATAATTATTTTACCAAGTGCCACTGAATGGGCAGAGCTATGCTAATAGGTATGATGGCATGATGAAGAAAAATACATGTAAGTAAATTATTACTGAAAACATTGAAGAAATGAGCAAAGTATTCTATCATATGTATCTGGAGGAAAAATATAATTGCAAAGAATATTGCCAAAGAGAGCAAGGAATGGTTAAGGCTAAAAAAAGGGCAGGAAAAATACAAAGAAATTCTCACAAATTAAAATTTTTGGAAAGTGAAAATGGCTGAACAAGAAAACTCAAGCAGACTGCAAGGTTATCTTGTCATCACCCTCATAACTGGATAGTCGCTGTATAAGGCAATTGTTAAATGAAGTGTACTATATGTGATCTCTTGTGCACAATGGAAGTTAGTCAAAAAAGCCAACATAACTGGGCATAAAGACATGCTTCTGCCCATTGTGTTATATGGAAATGTAAGTAGGATATGTCAAGGAAAACAGAAAAGTAAACTGAATTGCAGTAAGAATGAGATATGTAGGAAAACATGTATAGTAATAAAAAGATGACATAGGAAAGAAATTTAAAGAGGAAAAAACAACATATGAAGCAATGTACAGGCATGGTGGAATTAAGCATGTTTTGCAAAGAGGGAAGACTATGAATAATTATCTTAATTAGCTAGATGTAATTAGCTTTCCTTTTCTCTCACATCCTGCCTTTAGTTTATTTACTACAGGTAGTCTTCGACTTACAACAGTTCCTTTAGTGACTATTCAAAGTTACAACGGCACTGAAAAAAGTGACTTGTGACCATTTTTCACCCACATTTATGACACTTGCAGTGTCCCAGGGTCATGTGATCAGCTTTTGCAGCCTTCTGAGAAGCAAAGTCAATGCAAAGCAAAGTCAATGGGGAAGCCAGATTCACTTAACAACTGTGTTACCAATTTAACAACTGCAGTGATTCACTTAATAAGCAAAAGGCAAGAAAGGTCATAAAATGGGGCAAAATTCACTTAACTGTCTCACTAAGCAACAGAAAGTTTGGGCTCAATTGTGATTGTAAGTCAAGAATTACCTGTACTTGTTTTCTGCATTTCACCTACAGTTGCGTACCCTGAAAGAGACTGATATGATCGGTGCCTATGTACCTGAGGATCTTGATCACTGTAACAGCTGCTCATTTAGAAGGTGCCTGAATGAAAGTTTGGTTTGGTTTTTTTGTCATTAGCATTAGTGAAAAGGACATGCAATCATAAGGGGGAAAAAACTAAGTACTAAAACAGCTTAATTTTTATATTGTTTTTTGGGGGAGAGAAATGGTTTTACTTGGCAAAGAATATATTTGTATTATATTTACTGTGCCAGTTGATCATTAGCAGTCTGCAGTCTCTTCATGTGTTGCATTTTATCTTTTTCTTCTTGTAACTGTACAGCTTTTAGACGTTCACGTTCTATTGCCTCATTCTTGCTTTTGTACAGATTCTTGTGTTGCTTTCTAAATTCAATCTGAGCGTCTCTTTCCTTTAAAACTTCAGAATATAATAAGGCTCTCTGTAAAAGATAGGTTTAATATTTAGTAGTCTTCTACACTTCTATACTACATCATGGCCAAAAATTAAAAGGAAGAAAAAATGTAATCTATATTACATGAAAACTTTTCACTCTATCGTTTTCAAAATACTGTTGCAATTTGGCTTCTTCTATTTTCTCTTTTCGCTTCTGTGCTTGGTATTTTGCTTCTTCAAGGTCAACCTTCCTTCTTTCTTCTTCCTCTCTCTGTTGCCGCACTTCTTTGGCTTTCAGTTTTTGTTGTGACATACCCTGTGATGAAAGTATACATAATCTTATTAGGGATATTATTTTTAAAAATAGGTTAAATGATACCTTTTAAAGATATGAACAATACTTATCTAGTTTTAAATAAAATAATACCATTGTCCCCTGGAACTCTATCTGAACTGTTCCCTTCTCATGGAGATAATTTTACCAGGATGTGATGGGTTCTCTATTGTTCTGTTTCATAGAACATTTGTCATCAATTCTGATGACAAAATGCAACCATATTCCAACTTAGTATATTATGTTCTACCTTAGAAAAGTCCGATTCCGAAAAGGGCAGAGCTTGCTGTGAGATGCTGCTTTCATCATTCTGATGAAAGTAGCAACAGCCCTCAGATGCCACTACAGAGATAAGCAGTAATACCAGTTAAAGCCCTGGTGAACAGATACGTTTTAAGTGAAGTTGACAGCATTGGCATTTACAAATTCTTCTTACTGCAATAGTGTGGGTCCAATTTTTCACAAGTGCCTGAGATTTTAAGTGCAAATCTTTCCGTGCTTTCTTTTCAGCAAGAATCCGTGCTGTTTCTCTTGCACGAGCAGTGAGACTGTCTTGAATTCTTTGCCATTCTGCTTTGGGCAAAATGGTTATCTGGTGAAGATCTACTCCCACTGGAAGAAATAATCCCTCCATCACATCATCATCCTCATTTGCTGGGCAAGAAAGAAAAATAGAATAAATAAATAATGTGTTAGAATGAGTGTCCAAACTCTTGTAGGATGCTTAACTTTATTAGGCATTTATCTTTTTAAGCTATGTGTATCTTTGTTTTTAATTGTCTTATTTTATAAACTACTCAACATTGTGACAAATTAGGTAGTTTATAAATTCCACACATACACATTAGAGCCAGTTTGATACAGTGATTAAGATGCTGGACTAGAAACCAGCAGATTGTTAATTCTAGTCCTGCTTTAGGCATGAAAACTGGCTGGGTAGGAGGTGAAAACAATATTATATATGTTCATCACCTTGAACTACTTAAAAAGAATCAAGGTGAGATAAAAATCAAGTAAATAAATACATATATGCCTATGTATATAAATCCTTTACTTCTTAACAATGGCTTTAACGAATCTTCAACTATGCCTAAATTATGTATGTATCAAGTTTTACAATTAAAAATGAAATATTTTCATTCAGAAGCAACCATTTGAATTTTTGTCCCAAAATATTTAATGAAGAACAGAGTAGGAAAGGCAAAGTAGGATAGGTGATTGGGGGAAAAGGAATATGTCATGCTTTTCCAAACCAATGGACAAGGAACAATGGTATCTGATACAGTGGATATAAAGCCTACATACCTGTTAAAATGCCAGGTTTGTTATATGTAAAAAAATCAGACTAAGATAAATCACTTCCGTATTTTTTCCACAAAGTATATAGACTTGCTATATGCACTATAGCTCTGAGCATAGAAGGAAATTTGAAAAGCAGTCAGTAAGCTGATCTTATTTTCACCAGGAAATTCTACGTACTTTTCTAGAGACAAGGGCCTTCATAAAACAATTTGAGACTTCTCACTAGTTACAACTGGGAGGCACTGCTGCAATATTATCCATTAGATGAAAAACAAAGCTTCATTCAATTGAGGAAGTTAAGTCAGTCGCTTATGCCAAAAAGTAGGTTATTCACTAACTCATAGCTAAACAAAGTTGACTTACACCAGTGGTTTTCAAACTTGGCCACTTTAAGATGTGTGGACTTCAACTCCCAGAATTCCAAAGCTGATATGTTGAGAATTTCCTAGGCGACCTTAGGCTGGGGAAATCTGGGCATTGAAGTCCACGCATCTTAAGTTGCCAAGTTTGAAAGAACACACACTTAATACCAGTAACAGTAATAGAGTTGGAAGGGACCTTGGAGGTCAACTAGTCCAACCCCCTGCTCACGCAGGAGACCTGTACTAGGGATTCGAACCGCCGAACTGCCGACCTTTCCGCTCGACAAGCTCAGTACCAATACAGTATTAATTATGCAATATTCTGTGAGCTTTTAAGGCCCCCTTAAGGAAGTCTGAAGGATCGTATTTTTTTTTCTCACTCTGGCAGAGCAAAGACTGAGGAAATCAATCAATCGGTGGGCAGAGATAATATAACGGCGTCCGTTGAGCTCTGGCTCGCGCGCCCAGCAATCCTCCCTCCAATAAAGGAGAATATTATTGTAGCTCGGGCTTAAAATGAGGAATTTGAGCACTGATTGAGCATTGCTGGCGTTACCCAGTTTGGGGAACGAGGCATCTACAAGAAAACAACCAGGTTCAGAGAGCACCAAGGCCCCCTCCAGCTTCTCTCCCTCCCCGAAAGAAACTCACGCGTAGCCTCTCGCATCTGCCCCTTGCGCCTGCCGAATCGCACCTCGGGGCGAAGCATCGCCCCCATGGCAGCTGGGAGGTGGGGGGGGAGGGGGAGGGGGAGGCCGCCCCGAGACGCCCTAACTGAAGCAGCGCGAGGCACCAGGGTGTTCGGCGGTTGCCAGGCAACCGGGGAACGGCTGCGTGGCGAAGTTACGCGACTCTCTGCCGTTGGGAGGAAGGGAGAGGGGGAGGGGTGCGAGACTTGTTTGGTCGGTCACGTGATCTCGCGTGGCCAAGACGTTGCAGGGGCAAGTCAGTTGGGTCGGGTGTCGAACTGGACGCCGGTAGGCCGCTTTCCCAGTTCTCTCTCTCTCTCTCTCTCTTTTCCGGGCTACGGGCGGCTGGATTCTTTCTCTCTTTCTCCCATTTGTGCAGGCTGACACGTTCTCTCGCCCCGGCCTTGGGTCGAAGCCGGGAAGGGTACACTCGGAAGACGGGCTGCCTCCGAGGGATAGATAGGTCTGTGCTGCGGCGCCCCCCGAGGCTGGTGGCCCAGGCAAGTCCTCGGGCTGGCTTTGGCCTCCCTTGTCGGAGCCGTTCAGTTGCCTCGCAATGAATGACTGCTGTGCGCGCGAGGAGCCTTGGCGCGTCGTTCGCGGCTCGTTTTCCCACGGCGTCCCTGGCAGCGTTGCCTCCCTAAGACTCCCCGCGAAGGAGCCATCTGACGGGTTGACGGATTGACGGTTCGCCTTTATAGCGGTTGGTGGCTTTTGTAAAGGTAGCGACCGTACGAAAAAATAAACCTTAAAATGTCTATATAGACCGCTGCGGGCAGTGGAAAAGCTTAGCGAAATACGGGTTCCTTAATTAGCGACTGCAAACGTGGCCTTTGCTGTATAGATTCTTACCTGGCTGACTCTTCCGTCTGCTAATGCTTGGCAAAGCTTTGAGCTATTTCTGCCTTACATACCATTCTTGTCCCTACAGAACAAGATGAATTGCTTCTCTTGATAGGTCACATTTGCCAGGCTGCCCGGGGCTTGCAAATCTTGCCTTGATCTTATAACTAAACGTTTATTTTTGAAATGTAAATGTTATTTGCTCCAGTGACTGTAAATTGTTAGGGTTTTATTTCTGGCTGTACACCGCCCTGAGTCCTTCGTGAGAAGGGCGGTACAGAAATTTAATAAAATAAAATAAATAAAATAAAATAAAATAAATTACTCAGAAGAGTACAGATGTTCATTCTGTTCTTTGCCTATTTCCAAAGAGAGCCAAAAGCAGGTCAGATTCAGGGCTACATTAATTGCCCATACATTTCTTTTCCTGCTTGCCATGTATGCTACAGTATTTTCAAAGTGATTTACATTGACAGACTATGGGAGTCATTGAGTCCAGGCACCTTTGGTGAATTTCAAAGACAATTGAAGCTTTTCAGTCAAATCTTATCTTTTAGCCAAGGTTTTTGAAAAGGTAAAAATCCATACAATGAGATTGTAAAGTCAGCTACATGTTAATGTGATGATGAATGTCTTCTAGCTTTAATAGTTGACATCCATTGTTATTCCAACATATTTGAATAAAACCTGGTTGGAGGAAAGTTATTAAGCTTCATTTAAAATCGCATTTTACAAATGGATTCAAGGAGTTGATGTTTTTGAAATATCTAAAATCTATGTACTATATTCTTATGATGTGTAGAATCTGGCTTTTGTTTGATAATAGAGTCCCCTTTATTGCATACAGTTATCTCATTACATTGTGGTATTCTAAATTGTGAAATAATGTGAGCTTTGTACTTTGTTTATCCACGAACTTCACAGGTTAATATTAGCCTAATTTACCTTTAAGCCGAATCTTGTCTCTTTACCAAGATTATTGGTAAAATACACAGGAAAAACCTCTGTGCTTTTCTGGGTTCATTCAAGCCAGATCAGAATAAGAACATGTATTTTCTTCTCTCTGTCTCTGTACAGTTAAGTGGCCTGCAGTCATTTTCTGGCAGAACTGAGATAAATTCTATTTGATTTACTCCAATGAATTCAAGTTTCAAACATTATCCAGTGAGTATCATTGATGTATTGTGGTTGATTTTTTTTTAAAGTGCACATCTATATAAATCTATCTTATCTATCTGTGTCAGTTCTATACTTTTTGATAATGTAATCAAATATCCTGTCTTTGAATTTTTGTTTTGACTAATTATTACTTTATATGCTACCATATATAGGTAGTCCTCACTTAATGACAACTCAGCCTAGAATTTTGACCATAAGTTACTGTGATGGTTAAGCAAATCATGTGACTTGTCTTGATTTTACAACTATTTTTACAATGGTCATAAAGTGAGTCACCATAGTTGTTAAATGAATCAGAAAGTCATTAAGTGAATCCATTTTCCTAAATGGGCATTTTTTTGCTGGAAACTGCAACTGGTCATAAACAGCCAGTTGTCAAGTGCCCAAAATGCAATCATGTGCCCGTGGTGTGGATGTGTTTGTATGGGTGGGTGTTAGTCCTAACTTCAAGGATGGGTCATAAGTAACTTTTGGGGGTCATGATAACTTCAAATTGTTGTTAAACTACTGGTCATTAAGTGAAACTACCAGTACTTTACAGTTTATTGTACATTCTTCGTTCGTTAAGGTAAATCAATATAAATATCACATACAGAGGACTAAAATGAAAACTGAAATGCTTTGAATAGCCCTAACTTCCTGCATTGTTTATAGCTTGCACATTATATAAAAACATAATGTGAACATTATGTCTGAAATATATGCCAGGATTTTCTGCATGTAATTGCTGCCCAGTTTAGATGCCACAACAAATTGTGATTTGGTATAGCAGTATATAGCTTGGACTCTCTCCTCTTTGAAAGATAACTTATATTTTGAGAAGTATTCAGATGCATTTTAAAAGTATTATGAATGATTTATATATGTCTCAGTATTATTTTTCTTGCTGAAAATTTTCTTAAGGATATCAAAAATACGATTATATAAATGATTTATTTCATTCATAATTAAACTATTTTTCTCATTTCCAGGTTATCCTTATATCCAACAACAATGAGATTTCTACTGGTTTTTGATTTTGATCATACAATTGTAGATGAGAACAGTGATACCTGGATTGTTAAATGTGCACCGGGTTCAAAACTTCCTGATGAAATAATAAACTCCTATCAAAAGGGACATTGGACAGAATACATGGACAGAGTTTTTAGATATCTGGGAGATAATGGAGTAAGAGAAGAAGATATGAAAAGGACTATGACAACAATCCCATTCACTTCAGGAATGATAGATCTTTTAGATTTTATTGGCAAACACAAAGGCTTTTTTGATTGCATAATTATATCAGATTCCAATACTGTCTTTATTGACTGGATTTTAAAAGCAGCAAATGTTTTTCAACTATTTGATGAAGTGTTTACAAACCCTGCAAGTTTTGATAGCTTTGGCTATCTTTCTGTACAGAATTGTCATATCCATGATTGTACAAAGTGCCCCATAAATTTGTGTAAGAGGAAAGTTTTAGAAGAATTTTTAGAAAGCAATTTAACTTCAAGAGTTAAATACTCACAAATTGTATATATAGGTGACGGGGGAAATGATCTGTGTCCTGTAATGTGTTTAAAAAAGAATGATGTTGTTATGCCACGCCATGGGTATATTTTGGAGAAAATGATTTCTCAATTAGCTCAGGATCTTGTTCCATTGGAAGCATCAGTTCTCCTTTGGTCTTCTGGTGTTGAGATTCTTGCCTACTTAGAATTGCTTATAAAAGAATAGTTCCCATTTAGCCTAACAACAGCAACTTGGTGCTACTGTCTTGCCTTTCTCATAGTAGAACCTTTCTTTATGGATATTAGAAAAATCACATGTTGTTTACATCATTTTGTCTTCCCTTTCCTTGTAGAAAATCAATATATAGTTAGTAGGATGAATAATTTAATGAAGCAGATGCCAAAATTATTATTAAATGTAATAGTCATCTGTGTCATTTCAGATGAACTATTAAGGTCTGTTCTATAATATATGGTAAATTCTGTTTAATTATATATTGGCATCCATGATAGTATACATTCAAATTGGCTCTTACCAATAAAGAGGAGGGGAAAGCAAATCCCATTGTGTAAGTGGAAATCCCGCTCAAATAATTGCCGTCATTTGCTGTTTTTCAAAAAAAATAGCAGAATATTATTTCTTAGAATTGAAAAACACTCTCATAGTCCTGTAAAACCATAGAGATCCAGATTATTTTTGTAACCAATTACAATACAACAGTTGGTTGCAGTTTAGTGGTATCAAACTGAAAGAATGCATAAATAAAAATAATACCCATTTTTCTCCTATTTAACAAATATTCTACATCAGTCAATCTGGTTAAAGGTAATGCACCAATACAAATAAATGTAGGCAATACTGACTACTGTTTAATACTATCTGATTTAACTGTCCATAGAAGTGTTGGTTTTATCTGCAAATAAACCATAAGAATGCAAATGAGATGATGCACAGAGAGAGATGTATTTCCTTTCATAAGCAAAATACTTTATATGAATCCAGTTCAATTCTGTGCATGTTTACTAAGAAGTAGGCCAGTGGGATTTATTCCTAAGTAAACTACGTAGAACTGAAGCCTTACAAAAAATAATTATGTAAAATGAAGAGTATAATATGTCAGTGCCACAAAGACAAAATCACTGCTTCAATTTATTACTAAGGCACCACATTTATCTTTGCTAATACCTGTGAGGTATAATCTTTCTTTTTATGTAATTTTGTTACAAATATGAAAATCTTGGAACAGGAGGACTGTATTAGGCTATCTGCAAAAAATATGACATTGTCTTTTTCAACTAGTAAATGTTATTAAGAGGCATAAGCCTTCATAAGCTGAAACTCAGTTCATGACAATCTATGCCTTTTATTAAAATTGGTTAGAAAATGTGCTGCCAAACTCCTCTTAATATAAAAGTTATATCTGGAAGTTTTAAAAAAGGGCATAAATTGATAAGCAGTTTTGTGTTGGTCTTTTTAGCCTTTGCAAAAAGTGAATGTGTGAAAATTGGTTTAATATGTAGAATTGTATATATGGATAATGTATTTTTTTAGTTTAAAATTAATGAAAGGAGAAGATTAAAAAATTAGTTCAATATTAGCTGGCTCTCAGATATTAATTTATGTTGGTCTTAATGAGTAGGTTATTTAACTATCTGGTAAAATTTCAGATATTGAGTACATTTGATATAGTGAACAATGAATTTGCTTAGAAATCCGTATTTCACTTGTTATTCTTTGAAATACTATGTGCCTACTAAAATTTTTGGAATATGTGTACTATTTAAAATAACAATGATTAATTTATCCCATTTGTAGTTTTTATTTAAGATGTATGCTTATAAAGATAACAATTAAATATTTTATTACTGAAACTACCTGTTAAATATTTTGCCTTAACTGTAGAATATAGTGATTATATAAATCAACAGAAACAACATGCTGTATTGGACCTAACCTAACAGATGTTTAGTTGATTAGTATAAAAAGAACATTGGTTTTCTATTTCTTCCTCTGTTGGCGATACACTATATATTAAAGCTTTTTCTAACAAATTCTTCTCCCCTAGTTTTAATGAAGCTTATATTGCATTCCTTCCAATATAGATGAGGACCCTATTACATGGTCCAAAGATCTGCTTATTTGATAAATGTGAATGCTGATTTTAACAATTAACTTGGCCCATGGATTATAGCTTGTGCTTTCAACCATTGTGCATCCATATTAGGCTAATTTATAATCAGACTATCAAGAGTTCTGCTATTTATTATTGAAATAATTCATATGGCTGCCCCATCTCAGAGCAGGTGGTGCAAAAGGTTAAAAACTAACAGTTATAAATAATACCTCATGACTCTTGAAGGAAATAATACATTCTGAACTTAAATTTATTATCACTAACAGTGGTTTCCTACTCTTCTGATCCAAACATCTGAGGAAACAGTCAGGTCTTGAGAACCTTATGAAGTGCTAACAGAGTTGGGACCAACCGGATTTCTATGAATATGCTGTTCCAGGTGGGCACTGTCAGAGAAAAGGCATTATGTTTCCAACAAGATGACATTGTTTAATAGAGGGGACTTGAAATATGCCCTCTTTCTAGATCTAGTAGAATCAGCAGGAAAAAAATGGAAGAAATTGATATAATAGTATTCAGAACAAAATTCAATAGTGGTTATTTCTCTGGATCGGTGGGTTTCAAAAATTTTTACTACCAGTTCTGTGGGCGTGGCTTGGTGGGCGTGGCAGGGGAAGGATACTGTAAAATCTCCATTCCCACCCCACCCCAGGGGAAGGATACTGTAAAAACTCAATTTTCTCCCAATCAGCTGGGACTTGGGAGGCAGAGAATAGACGGGGGCGGGGCCAGTCAGAATTTTTACTACCGGTTCTCCGAACTACTCATCATTTTTGCTATTGGTTCTCCAGAACTGGTCAGAACCTGCTGAAACCCACCTCTGCTCTGGATGCTTTATATGATTTCTTGGAGATTCCTGAAACGAGTCTCAACCCAAAGATGCTTTTTCAAAAGACAACTGCATTTTGTTTTTCCTAGGAAAATGACTGAGAATCTCCACAGACCAGGGGTGTCAAACTCAAGGCCTGGGGGCCGGATCTGGCCCACGGGGTGCTTAGATCTGTCCTGTGGGGCCACCCTGGAAAACAACTGGCCCACGTGCCTCTACCAGCGAAACGGCCACGTGCGGCTCTTCCGAGTTCCTTTTACACTAGCAGAATGCTGTAGGAAACCAAAAACGGAGCTCGGGAGCCTGTTTTTGCTGGCAGAGCACTTGGGCCACCACAGGCACGCTGTGAGCTGGCCACATCCACCCCGGCCCCATGAGGTCAAACAACCCTGATGCGGCCCTCAATGAAATCGAGTTTGACACCCCTGCCATAAACAGTTGCCATAGGCTTGTCCCAAATTTAACGTTCTTTCCAGGATTTGGAATTTTTCAAGAATTATAGATTGTGATGATGATGATGGTAAAGATACATACAAAGAGAAATAAAGTATCTGTTTTGCTTTTTTTAATTACTTTTTTATTATAATTAAAAAGCAAAAATAAAAAAAAATAATTGTGGATTCTGTGGAAAATAATATCCCTACAACATTGTATATTGCTTGTAAATTTTTCAATTATTTTCTTTTCCAAAAAGAATAGCAAGAAACCGGGGCTTTTCAGCAATATACTCAATTTTGTAAACTACATTGCCGTGCTTTTTTTTTAAACATTTCATCAGGGCTATATATTCATCTATGATATTTGTGAATATGGGCCTAGTCTTCCTTTGATAGGAAAACTAGAAAAATAATGAATCATGTCCTTTATTCTTGGTTGACAGACTCTACTTATCATGGAAGGAGGCAACTGGGGGTGGCGAAGGCTTCAAGTCAGTCTTGATCCAGGCCATTGCCTGGATTACAGGTAGTCCTCAATTTATGACAATTGACCCCAAAATTTATGTTGTTAAGTGAGAAATATGTTAAGTGAGTTTTGCCCTGTTTTACTATTTTTCTTGCCACATTTGTTAAGTGAATCACTGCAGTTGTTAAACTAGTAACACGGTTGTTAAGTGAATCTGGTTTTCCCATTGACTTTGCTAGTCAGGTCGCAAAAAGGGATCACATGACTCCAGGACACTGCAGATAAATATCAGTTGTCAAGCATCCAAATGTAAATCATGTGACCATGGGGAGGCTACAACAGTCATAAGTGTGGGAAATGGTCATAGTCCCTTTTTTCAGTGCCGTAACTTCGAACGGCCACTAAATGAACTGTTGTAAGTCGAGGACTACCCGTATTCCCTGCAGGTTCTTGGCAAGATTTTTCAGAAGTAGTTCCCCATTACCTCCTCTCTAAAGCCGAGAGTGACTGACCCAGGTCATGTAGCCGGTTTTGTGCTGAAGGCAAGACTAGAACTCGGCACTCTCCCAGTTTCTAGCCTGATGCTTTAACCGCTGCTTACCCAAACTGACCAAGAGCTACAGGTATTTAGAAAGGCTTTATAACCAGCACGTTGCTATCAAAGCTTGACCAGCATCTCTGGGAATGGCTGGGCAGGGAAAGGAGATGGAGCAATTTGATACCCCATGAGTGTCTATGGAGATTCTCTCATGAGATATCCCATGAGTGTTCCCCAGCCCCCCCCCCTCCCCCCCCCCCCCCCCCCCCCCCCAGCTCTGGATAAGCAAAGCTATTGTTTCCACTTTAGAGTCCCTGGAAGCAAAACGGCCACCATTCGCAGCCCAACAGACGCTTTTACAGCAACCCTTGCCTTCCCCCCAACCCCTGAGGCCCAAAAGCAGCAGGCAAAGCTTTCTCTGGGGATGAGAGGGAGGGGAGCTGAATCGCAGAAGCTGAGGATGGCCTTGTTGGGAACAGAGGGGCCTGGCCGGAGGAGGAGGCGAGCCAGCTGAGGCACCAAAATAGGAACTGGGCTCTCCTCCATCTGTTCCTTCTATAGCCTACAGCAGCGAAGAGAAGCTGAATTTCTTCTAAAGATAGTCAACGGGACAGCCGAGCCCTTCCTCCCTTCCCTCTCCGAGAAAGACTCGCGGAGGGGCTTCCTAGCGGCTTCATCCTGCCTGCACCTCTTTTTTTTTTCCCCCCCTCGCTTCTCAGAATAGGAATAAGCGGGTTGCAGCCGAGCCTTGCCGAAGCGCGCGCGCGGCCAAGCCGCTTCCCTCAAAGTTTGCAACCTGCTCCAAAGCCCCGCTCGATTTCCCATCCATCCCTTTTGTTCCAAAGCGCGCCTCGATTTGGCGGACCGGGTTGGGCGGGACCGGAGCAAGGGGAGCAAAACGAACACGGGCTTTGCGCCTCCTTGTCCCCGGTATACCCCGTTTAATAGGCTTTCTCCCTTTCATTTCCACGCGCGCGGGGGGTGGGGAACCAATTGACAAGGGTACCGAGCGGCTAGGAAGGCGCTCCCACAATGCCCCACGACCGACCCTAGAGCCCCGTGGGTGGGTTTCGCTTCGGGCAATTTGCCTTTTAGTGCCACGGTCGTCCTCCTCCTCCTTCCCCCTCCCCTTCGTGCTCAGATTTTTGAAAGCTGCTCCTTTCCTTGTTCGAACCCAGCTCTTGCCTCTGCCTGTCACCCAATTTGGAGAGCAGGTGGGTGAGTGTTTAGCAAACACGGGGTGGCCGAATGACGACGTTTTGGATAAAACCTATCGAGAATTTGTCCGATATAAATGACAGCCGTCGAAGAAACGAGGACCTGCGGCTGACTGGACTGTTTTTTGAATGGGATTGCAGCATTGCCAGGGTATGGCTAACCGTGGTTAGCCTTATTAGGGTGAACTCTAGTTTCTGGGATGGTTCGAGACGAGCCATAGAACTGGCTGGCGACTTGGTGATTGCGCTATGCCGGGCGACCACAGCTGTATAGAAAGCTTTTTTTTTTTTAAAGAGGGATTTTTTTTTTTATCATTTCGGATTAACTACATCGTCTTTCTATTTCCCAAAGCAACATCGCCCCGCGAAATGACAGACAACTCGGTTGATGGCTTTTTGTCCTTAAATGCTGTCGGTTTTATTGTTCATGCAGCTTTTGAGATAGTTAAAAAGTTCCAAATGTTGCTTTTCTGCTCTCAAAAATCTCTTTAATTACCCACAAAGAGGTTGCATTGTGTTTGTGTTGCGAGAAATCCCCTGTGGGATTAGCGATGTGCCGCATGATCTAGCTTTATACCCCCTTTCCTGAAAATAAGGTTATTGAAATCAACCGGGCTTAGTTTTGAGATGGATGAGAATATATTGTTATCCCTAAGAAATAGCACAATTATGCGCCTGTTTACCTAAAAGTAAACTGGACTGGACTGGACTGGACTTACATGGTGTCTACTCCTAGGTAAATGCCATAGTTAAATATACATAGGATGGAAGGGTTAATTTGTTCTTTTCACAGTCCTGCCTAATTAATTGTTGATTTTACAACCCCTTTTATCGTGTATTATAAATGGTAGCATTAGAACCCTTTATATTGCTATATATTACTTTGAGGTTTGTGGAAGAATGATTGAATGAATAACAGTGATTAAAATGAGCAAATGAAATAGGTTGACAATGATAAAAGTGGAAAATACACTTTTTGCCTGGGACTCAAAATTAAAGTGATTTTATATTCTTAGCATTCCTAGATCTGATAATGTGTTTTAACAAAATTATGAACAATTTTTACTAATAAGTTAAGTCCAACTAAGTGGGATTTGTATCTGTTTCTTGTTCTGTTTGGAGGGATTTAAATAGGATCACCATATCTTGGTTTGCAAAATTTAAATCAAATTAATTTGTACATTTGTAACATTTGAAAGAAAATCTTCTTCCTCACATAAATATATATTGTTTATAATAAGAAATCTGCATAGATCATGTATGTGTAAAATAGAATAAACACATATGTGATCTGTGTAGAATTCTTACTATTAACAAATAAGAGGACTGTTCTTTTCATCAGTCCTGCAGGCTTCATTTAAGTAAGGTATAGAGACCAGTCATTGAAAATGTGAGCCTGGTTGGAAGATAATTTGATGCTGGCATCTAATTCTGGAGCAGATGAGGCACTGCTTGGGAGAGCAAGAAAGAAGGTTCGAGTTGTATGAGGCAGTGGAGACCTTTGAAGAGCTGAGACCAGCTTAATAACTTAAAACTGATTATTCCTGGATGGTTTTATTTTAAGGAAATATATTTCTGTTGGCAGCTTTGCATTCTCTTTTTTACCTGATGTGTTTCTTGATCTGATATGCTTGATGTGAGCATTAGAGGTAAATTATTTGTAAAAAGATTCTGCCATTGAAATCAGAAAGCCTTATATCTGAATGGACAGTGATAGGAATGAGTACATGAACCTCACTGCCGTGTTGTTTCTGATATTTTATTCCAGTGATGGCACTGACTGAGCAGGGGGAATATACCTATAGATACAAAGACCTCTCTCATCCTATAGAATTTTTGGATGCATTCAGGACGTTCTATCTTGAAGGGTTATTCACTGATATTACCCTTCAGTGTGCACCGGGTGTGCTATTCCATTGCCATAAAGCTGTACTAGCTGCTTGTAGCAACTATTTCAAAGCCATGTTTACCTCTGACATGAAAGAAAAGTCAAAGGATCAGATTCATCTTTCTTTGTTCAGTCCTACAATACTGGAATCCCTGGTGATGTACACGTACACATCAGAGATCCAGATAACAAAACAAAATGTTCAAAGCCTCCTTCAAGCTGCTGATCATCTTCAGTTTACTTCCGTCAAAAAAGCCTGTGAACAATTTCTCATCAGACATTTAGACCTTGACAACTGTTTAGGTATGCACTCCTTTGCAGAATTCCATGTCTGTTCAGAGCTGGAGAAGGAATCGAGAAGGATAATATTGTCCAGATTTGAAGAAGTGTGGAGACGGGAAGAATTTCTAGAGATTAGCAACAAGAAACTCCAGTTCATCCTCTCCAGAAAGAATCTTGATATATGGAAAGAAGAAGCAATGATAGAGCCCATTGCCAAGTGGATTGCCTATGAGGTGGACAGCAGGATCGAACACATTTATGATCTGTTGAGGTGCCTTGAAACTGATTTAGATGAAATGTACTTGAAATCAGCCCTAAGCTTGTACAAGACATGCCAGTTAAAGGAAAATAAAATCAGATCTCTAATACGTAGTGTATTGGGACCCAAGCCAAGAGCAGTTACAAAAAGATCTACCACTATTATGTATGTGATTGGGGGCTATTACTGGCACCCTTTGTCTGAAGTCCACATATGGGATTCAGTAAACAATGTTTGGATCCAGGGAACAGATATGCCAGATCACACACGAGAAAGCTATGCAGTCACAAGCCTGGGACCCAATGTTTACGTGACTGGAGGTTACAGAACAGATAATATAGAAGCCCTTGATTTAATGTGGATATACAATTTTGAAACCGATGAATGGACTGAAGGCCATCCCATGCTTAATGCAAAATACTACCACTGTGCAGTTACCTTAAGTGGTTGTATCTATACTCTGGGAGGTTATCGAAAAGGGGCTCCGGCTGAAGAAGCGGAATTCTATGATCCTTTAAGAAAGAAATGGTTCCCAATTGCAAACATGATTAAAGGTAATCGACTTGCTGCATAACTTGCTAATTGAATCCTGCATGTATTTTTTAAATGGAACTGCATTTTTTCCCACTTCTATTTTGGGCTGCTTTGGGTAGGTACTAATAGGACATTAAGGTCTGGGTTAGAATAGGTGGCTCAATCATTTGGGATCAGTGATCACACTTGGCATTTTGAAAATGATGTGAACAACCTCAAAAAATGGATGTCACATCAAGTATGGTAAGACAGACGGTATCCTTTCCCATTTCCTAGCATTTTTACAGTAGTTAATTCTCAAGGGACAAGAGTATTCCTAGTAGGGAGAGCAAGAAGCTTTGTCTTTCTATATTTTGTCTGCCTGTCTGTCTACCTATCCATCTATCTCATGATTCTGGGCAATATGCAATTGTTAGAGAAAAACATATACGTGTAAACTTTTTGTGAATATAATAATTGACAATAAAATCCGGTTCAGAAGTTATACAATTCAAAAAGTTCAATGTAAACCAGGTAAAAATACAGTTAATTGGATTAGGATAGCTGTACTGATATATCCAGCTGTCCTTTGTATATGTTTAATTAAGATTGTTTAAAAATTTGGATTTTTTAATATTAATGTGAAATTCAGTGTAATTTTATGGCAGTGGTATGCCGATCATTTATTTTCTTCAGTGGGTTATTAAGAAATGTATAGTTGAGAGAAAGAGAATTTATTATTGATTGAGGTAAAGCATATGATAAAGTGAATAGGCTTGAATTGTAGAACGTTTTGCACAAATATGGAGTTTTAAGTCAATTGCTAAATTGCTAAATGCTGTAAGCACGGCCTATGATGGAAATACTGGTAGCCCTGATGGTCATGTGATCATCATCTGCAACCTTCCCAGACAGCTTCTGACAAACATAGTCAATAGGGGAGCCAGTGGGAGGTTGCAAGTCATGGTTACAAGATGTCTCACTTAATGACTGCAGGTGGTTCTTCGTTTAACAATCCCAATTGGGATTGTTGGAACTGCCATTGCAAAGGAGGGGTGGTGGTCACATGATATTCTACTTGGATCGCTTCACTTAGTGATGGAGTTGCTGGTCCCAGTTAGGATCATTAAGTGAGGAATACCTTACCTATAAAGAATGTGTGGGAATAAATAGAATGCTTAGTGAATAGTTCATCATTAATCAGGAAGTAGGACAAAATATATGTTTCCTTTGCTGTTAAGTGTATTATTGTATTTAATATTTGGCTAAAGGTACAGTATAAGAAATGCAGATGTATAGGTTAAAGATATGAACATTTATGTACTTTGTATGCAGACCATGCTGTGTTGTGGGTTGAGAACTCACATTATTTGCAGCAATTATTAAGTAGTTTATGCAATGTGACAAGGAGTATGGCTCTAAAAAGTAATGTATCAAAAAATGAGTAAGGTGACACTAAAATTGCAAATTATACATATAATTATGTATCTTCCAGCATTTGTGCATCTTAAAATATCTTATACTTAGTAAACATTCTATCATCATACTAATTCTATTTGCTCAAGTTTTGTTGATATATATATATATATATATATATATGGAAGATGAGCAGTGTGTAGTGATTGGTTGCAAAGAGTAAATATTGAAAGTAAAAGTAACTAGAAAAACTAATGAAAATATACGGAGTTATGTTTGGATGCAATGGACATAAGGCTGGTTGGCTAGTAGAGAAAGATATGGAGAATTGTGTCCATGTAAACTAGAGTTAATTCTTTCTCCTTTTCCTATCTTTTTAATTTATTTGTCTTACTATTTTTTTTATTCTTTTTCTGTGCTTTGCACAATATTACTTATCTTAAAAGGTGGACATGTTGAATGATGGACATGTTTGTGTATTAATTATCTTATTAGCTGTGTGCATGTATTATATTAATGGCCTGTTGATGGAAATTGTGCTGAATATTATTTATCTCTTTTTAGAAGCCTTTTACAAATTTAGTATTACTAAATAGGTGTTGGAAATGCCACTGCCTGCGTCCTGAATGAAGTCATCTATGTCACCGGAGGCCATTATGGTTATCGGGGAAGCTGCACTTATGATAAAGTTCAGACATATAATTCAGATATTGATGAATGGAGTATAATCACCACAAGTTCGTACCCAGGTAAGTTTTGCTTCTACAAAACAATTTAAATAAATTACTGTAGACCTGTTCTCCCATTGAAAGTATTTACATATGAGTCACAGAGAAGGAAAAGGACATTTAGATAATTGAGTCCAATTCCTAGTCAATGAAAGCATCCCAAATATATGGCTGTCTAGTATCCACACAGAAAAATGTGCCCCCCCCTCAATTATAATGAAAAATTCTTCCCATTCTAGTCAATCCATTTATTTATTTACTTACTCACTAGTTATTAGCTTTAAAAGTCATCTGACTCTAGGATGTCTCTGGTGGCTTACACTTAAAATACAATTAAAAACCTTTCTTTTTTGTTTCTTATTGTGTAAGATGAATTATAATTACTGTATATCAGTTTGGCTCCTGTACAAAAAAACTAGCATTCAGTAGTGGGGACATGATCATTATTAGCTCTGACTCTCATACCTTGTTCTTTTTCAAAAGCCCATAGTGACTCAAGCCTCAAGACTTAGCATCTCCTAACCATTAGGAAAGTCTACAGTTCAGCTGTGGGGGTTTTCTTCCTTGCTAACATGCAAACGATTCTGAAAGGGACACCTTTCTGGTATTTTTCAAGGGGAATCTGCCCAGATTCAACTGGTATACCAGTTGCAAACCTTGGAGAAAAAGGTCCTGATGACAGATACTAGAGACCTCATCATCTCTTGTGCAGATTTCTGCAGTGTGTTCTCCATGGGACTGCTCTGAGGATTATCTAAAAGTTTCCAGATACAGAATGCAGCCATCCACATATTATTATGTGAAATCTGCTTTTCAACCCATACAGTAATGCTGAAACTCTACAGAGTACAGTTTAAAATGTTAGTTTTGACCAATAAAGCCTTATATGGTTTTGACCTAGCAACCTACAGAACTTCCACTCCATCTGAAACAATTTTTTTCAGTTCATGAGTTTTGTGTGGGTACTTTGAGAATTCTTCCCCCACATAATATTCAGGAGTTGCTAGAAATCAATACTTCTAGCTGTAGCACCAAGAAACATATGACACCCTTTTTTAAGTATTCAGAAGAGCTGTTTAGAAGAATTTTAAATGTAAGTTAAGATTTAGGTCATTTGGGATGCCGCATAACATTTCTGTGATTTTGGGGTTGATTATTTTAATATTTTAATAATATTGATAACCTGTGATTTTTTACCTTTGTTTTCATAACATGTTTGGCTGTGTTATGATGTTGTAAATCACTATGTGTCCTTGCTTTTTCTGTTTATTTCCCTTTTTATTCTTTACTTTATAGCATTTGTACGGATCTCATTTTTTTCATGCCTTTGCCAATTACTATGTTCAACTTCTTTGCAATAACACCTGTTATTCGTGACTTTCCTGTACAATGCTGAGGAAGCCCTTTTCTGAAGAATATATCTATTTATAAGTAAACAGATAAATTTCCTTATCTCAGTTAAGCAAAATGTGGCTACAAATCATAATCTAAATCCAAAATTCTTGAAATCAACAGAGAACCATATTAGAATGTTGATATGAAGATTCTTCTTCTGTCAATTGGTAGGCCTTTCTTTTTTTTTTTAATTCTTCAAAATATAATGGACAATGTTAATAATTCATCTGTTTTACTGTAGAGTATGGATTATGTTCCATTGCACTGGAAAACAAGCTGTATCTTGTGGGTGGTCAGACAACAATCACAGATTGTTACGATCCTGAGCAAAATGTGTGGACTCAAAAGGCTGATATGATAGAAAGAAGGATGGAAGGCAGTGCAGTCGTCATGAATGGATGTATCTATGTGACAGGAGGCTATTCCTCTTCCAGAGGTTCTTACCTACAGAACATTGAGAAATATGATCCTGAAAGTAATAAATGGGAAATTGTGGGGAATCTTCCTAGTGCTATGCGTTCCCATGGTTGTGTATGCGTATACATTCTGTATGATGAGGAAAATGTCACTTCTGTGACTGGAACTACAGCATAAGCCACCACGTACCACAAGAATTTGCCTTCAGGAAACAAAAATGTCTTTCAGTAGCTCAGCAGTTACAGATTAGAAGATAACTAACATCACAGTTCAATTTAATTAATATTACTAATTCACTCTACTTTACAAGTGACCCATATATTACAAATATTATTTGTCAGATTCAAAACTGCTAAATGTTTATTGCTGTCCTTGTCATCAAAGGGGACTCTAGGTGGCTTACAATCAATCAATGAAACACCAACATAAAACATTAAAACAATAAATAGTAACATTAAATTTGATTTAAAATTGACGAAGGGATGGAGCAAGATGCACATTAACCAACTCTGGATTGACATGCCCCCATTGGGGCCTCAAGCCAGTTGGTAGAGCCATGTCTTCAGGTTCTTTCGGAAGGCCAAAATGGTGGGTGCGAATCTCGCCTGGAGGGGCATGATGTTCCAGGGTTTATCCTTTCTGAGGAAAAACTATTATTGTTTTTTTTCTGCAGCTCAGTACCTTTTTTTGCAGAAATACAACCTGGGTTTCTCAACCCGGTTCTTTCTGGGTGTGCTGGACCACAACACCTATAATCTCTGCTCTGTTGCTGTGGGTGCTTAAAGTACCTCACTCCTGGATGGCATCTTCTTAGGAATGGCTAGTCTACCCTAATTAACTCTATGCAACCTTGCTTGATTTTAGCTCAGAACGATAACATACATTTTTAAAATATTTTTTTCTCCAAGAAACACATATGTAATTGCCCCATTCTTGAGTTACGTTAAATCCTTTGAAGTTCTGATATTACAAGCTATGTGATGAAGGAGATATGGATTGATTTTATGACCTGTGATTGTATATCAAAGCTAAGGAGCACTAAAGAAGAACACGAAGAGGGGAAAGTCCTCTGCGGGGGAGTGGGGGACTGGCTTCTTTTGTTGCTTTAAATATAGATGTGAAGATACACAATATACAGTTCCTTGTGAACATTTTGCCTTATCTTGCCTCTTAGATTTAAGGGAGAGAAGTAGTAAATATCTATTTGTCTCCCCTTACTGCCAATTAGCTTATTGTTATTAAGCTAAATCTCAGCCAATGTAGATTTTACTGGTTGTTTTACTGAGGTTGTCACATGCTTGTGTTATTTAGGATGAGATTTCAATAGTAAGATGGGGCCAAATTATTCTACCCCCTTTTACGCCAATTTAGCCCCTCCTGAGGATATAGGAAATGTTCTTTTCTGACATGTTATTTTAAGGGTACCACATTCAGCTAGAAAGGCCTATTATTGGTCCAAATGATAAGATATTTATTATTTATTTATTTATTAAACAAATGTATATAACTAACTGTCCAACTCACACATGGGTAACTCCGGGCAGCTTACCACATCACAATCAAATCAAGTACTTGATCTACTCCATCTCCATTGGTGCTCCCCGGGTTCCCCAGGGGAAAACACAACCATGTTTTCAGGGTGGGGGCCCAACCATGCCTTGAGGGGGGGATGAACTTAGATATGGAAATCCTAAATGGTTCTATATGAAGTGGCCATCTAAGAGAATAACATATTGTTCCAAGATGTGGTGGAACTGTGGGCTGAAAGGGAGGACAACCTCCCCCCCACAATACACACACGCATTAGGGGAAGTTCAGAGAGGAAATATCTGAGACTAAACCTTTAGTCTAAATTGCCTTTTCCCAAGGGAAGCCAGACAGTCTGGTGTGATTCTTGTAATATAGGGGGTCAACAATAAACTACCGGTATATACCTTGGCCTTCTCACAAGTAGTTTTGGTTGCTTGCACTTGACAAGGTGCAGTACTCATAAACTATATGATTATATTTAATAAATTTGGCCATTGCATTGTAGAGTTTGAGGTACTGTATGCTTTAGGATGGATAATGATAATTTCCCTATTGTTTTAGTTCTAAAAGTAGGGTACCTACGAATGGTAGGAAAATTGAATGCATGCCACAGAAAACTAGCGGGGTAGATGAACTTGATTGGCTATTTACGAGCTCTTTAAACCTGAGGCACTGCAAAGTTTGTGCTCTTCAATTATTGACAATACAGGTAGTCCTCAAGTTACGGCCACAATTGAGCCCAGAATTTCTGTTGTTAAGACATTTGTTAAGTAAGTTTTGCCCCATTTTATGACCTTCTTGTCACAGTTGTTAAGTGAATCACTGCAGGTGATAAATTAGTAACTCAATTGTTAATCTGGCTTCCCCATTGACTTTGCTTGTCAAAAGGCTGCAAAAGGTGATCACATGATCTTGGATCACAGCAATGGTCATATGTATGAATCAATTGCCAAGCATGTGAATTTTGATCACATGAGCATGGGGATGCTTCAAAGGTCGTAAATGTGAAATGGTCTTAAGTCACTTTTTTCAGGACCGTTGTAACTTTGAATGGTCACTAAAGGAACTGTTGTAAATTGAAGACTACCTGTAATCCCAATATTTAATAGGAAAGTAATTCCCCAGTTAGGGATGTGGTGGCTCAGTGGCTAAGATGCTGAGCTTGTCGATTGAAAGGTCGGCAGTTCAGCGGTTTGAATCCCTAGTGCCACTTAACGGGGTGAGCTCCCATTACTTGTCCCAGCTTCTGCCAACCAAGGAGTTCAAAAGCACATAAAAAATGCAAGTAGAAAAATAGGAACCACCTTTGGTGGGAAGGTAACAGCGTTCTGTGCGCCTTTGGCATTTAGTCATGTTGGCCACATGACCACGGAGACGTCTTCGGACAGCGCTGGCTCTTCGGGTTTGAAACGGAGATGAGCACCACCCCCTGGAGTCGGGAACAACTAGCACATACGTACGAGGGGAACCTTTAACTTTACCTTTTAATTCCTCCAGCTATTATATGGGGCACAACTCTACAACCACAAAGATTATCACCCTTTGGAATTAATTTAAACTCAGTTGTTGCATGCTGTTTTGGGAATGCCTAGGGTACCTGCAGTGGTGCTGTATGATCAGGATTGGGATTGTTAACAATGGAGACTCAGGTTTAGTTAGTGAAAATTACGTACAGTACTACCTCAGATTGAAATATCAACTATCTGGCCTTATTCCTCTGATTCTCCAACTTTGTTATATGACGCGGGGCAGAAGATGGTTAGTATAGGGCAGGCCTACACTTACAAACTTTTACTACTGTAAAAGTAGTAAAGGAAGCAAGGAAAACTGTTCAACAGGACCTATGGGACATTGCTGTCCAGACTGATAAGACTTATAAAAAGGTCATTAATCATTGGCAATTTAGAGAAGCTGATAATTTGGCAAACTGTCTATATTGAGTTGCTCATGCGAAACAGAGGAGGGCATGTACACTACTGTGTTTTGATGTGATGCCCTCAGCAGTTTACAGGACCAATACACAGGCCTTCCTTTTTCAGAATGTCTTTCTCCATGGGATCAGTTAACTCTGTCCTAATATTCTACCTTTATTATAGGTAGGCACATTAGGCACGTGTTATGCTGATTCTTGTATATTATCTGCCTCCTTTACTATTGGCTGATATGAACGATGAAATTTTATACAGCAAAATTTTGCTGCCTTAACTTTCTACACAAGAAGATGTTAGGGGTTTAATTTGTATTAAGGATGTTTATTTGTTTTAATTTGTATTTTGTACAGTACAGTACAATTTGTATTGATCTTTGATTGTAATATACCAAAACAAACTTTGTATGATTTATGTGTTGCTATTAATCACATAATAAAATATGAATATACAGTATACCAAAGTATTCTAGTTTTAGAATTATGTCACATTTTCAGTTCTGCCTGGAAAGGAATTCTTGTTTAATACAGGTAGTCCTTGATTTATGATTACAATTGAACCCAAAATTTATGTTGATAAGTGAGACATTTGTTAAGAGAATTTTGCCTCATTTTACAACCTTTCTTCCTACATTTGTTAAGTGAATCACTTCTGTTATTAAGTTAGTAACACAATTGTTAAGTGAATCTGGCTTCCCCATTGACTTTGCTTGTCAGGAGGTTGCAAAATGGGATCACATTTTTCCAAATTTTGTTCACGTGACCTTGCTGCAAAGGTTGTAAGTGTAAAAATCATCAGTCCCTTTCCCCAGTGACTTGGTAACTTCAAACAGTCACTGAACGAACTGTTGTAAGTTGAGGACAATCTGTATTTCTCATGGGCTCATCCAAGCTGAAGGACGCTATCATTTTCAGACAAAACTTTTGACAGAAAAATATTTTCTATTGCTGTAATTATTTTTGCAGATCATATTTTCATTTGAAAGTGGTAACTTCTGGGTTTGTAAAATGACTTGCTTAATAAGTGCACTGATTTGCTTAACAAAGGTAGCAAAAAAATCATAAAATGGGGCAAAACCAGTGGTGGGATTCAGCCAGTTCGCACCATTTCAGGAGAACTGGTTGTTAACTTTCTGAGCAGTTTGGTGAACTGGTTGTTGGAAGAAACATTAGGGCAGAGAACTGGTTGTCAAATTATTTGAATCCCACCACTGGGCAAAACCACTTAACTGCAACAGAAATTTGGGGTTCAATTGTCATAAGGCGAGGAGTACCTGCATATGATAACTTGGATCTTGAATGCAGTTTGCAAAGTGGTGGCAAACTTTAATAATTTATCCTGTACCATTGAATTCACTCTTCATTCCTCAGCAGCATTTTGATGTCCTTTGAAACACTTCATTTTCTGGATTTCCTCTGGAGATTAGGAATTCTCCAGGATCCATAAGCAGGGAATGTCTGCACCATGATTGTATCTAAAGTAGCTGCTCCCTACCCATTCCAAACAGCAACGAAGGTCTAATTTGCACCATGCATCAGAACCTCAGAAAAAACCACAAATTATTTCTAAAAGCCAATAGGATCTATGTGGTGGATCAGTGAAGTGGATGGTCTAATTTTTCTATCAATCTGTAAAATGTTTAATCCTAGTTTATGATAATGGAAGTAGTCAAAATTAATTCAAGATGCTGAAGCCAGTTGTGCAGCTTTATGCCAAGACTTCAAGAGAAATAGAAACTGTTTACTGAAGGCAAAGTGCACACTTTTTCCCTGCTACCCTTCTAATGGGAAGGATAAACCATATTGTGTTGCACATTGCAGGGCACATTATCTCACAAACTAGCTTCTATTTTAGAGCAGTGTGTTGGATGAACCGATCTCAGTTTAGTTTCTAGCTCAGTGCCTAATGTGAACCCAGATAACCAGAATAAATAAAAACACACTTCATTACTTGGATGTGAGCTCACGTTAAATCACGATTTGATTGACTATGATATACAGTACTGAATAAATCACAAATTTCTGAACATCTATGGAGATTCTCAATCATCCAGGTTGTCCCAAAGGTGCTTTCCCAAAAAGCAACTAGACTTTGGTTTTGTTCTTTTCCTCTTGGAAACTTTTCACTTTTCATCCAAGAAGCTTCTTCAGTTCCACAAATAAGCTCCACAAATATCTGAGTGCTTACACTGTTGTTTATATTTCACACTCAGCACATGAAGAGAAGCCAAACCTAACTAAATCGCATATGGTAAAGTGTCTTATTCTGCAGCCTCTTTAGTCTTAGTGCAACGACGGAATTAACGAATTGTGCGTGCGCAAGCCATCCGCTAGAAGAAAAAGCAAAACTAAGACTTGAATCCCAAAGGTACCTTTTCAAGAGGCGAGTGGATTATGTTTTTCCTTGAAGGCATTTCGCTTCTCATCCAAGAAGCTTCTTCCGTTCTGAACTGACGAACTGAACCGATGTGGTGCAGTGGTTACAGCCGATGGCACAGTGGTTAGAGTGCAGTACTGCAGCTACTTCAGCTGACTGCTAGTTCAGCAGATCAAATCTCACCGGCTCAAGGTTGACTCAGCCTTCCATCCTTCCGAGGTGGGTAAAATGAGGACCCAGATTGTTGGGGGCAATATGCTATTTAGTATACTGTCTTTGGTGTAAGCGGCCCAGAATTCTTGGAGAGTGGGCGGCATAGAAATATGACTAATAAAATAATAATAATAATAATAATAATAAAATCGTGTGTTGTCCCGATTGTAATTGGAGCCCTTGGAGCAATACCCAAAGAGCTACCCCGCTATTTAGAAATTCTAAATTTGCCGGACTTGAACATTTTGACTCTACAAAAAACCACCTTACTCGGAACAGCTTACATCCTCCGACAATACCTTAACAGTTCCTAGGTCCTTGGTTAGGACTCGAGCTGCTGAGCTATTAACCAGCCTCAAAGGCTGTGAATCTCACTAAAGATTAAATAATAATAATAATAATAATAATAATAGTAGTAGTAGTAGTAGTAGTAATAGTCTCATCCAAGAAGCTTCTTCAGTTCTGAGGAACTGAACCGATGAAGTTTCTTAGATGAAAAGCGAAACGCCTTCAAGGAAAAAAAAACACCCAAAGAAAATCCAGTTGCTTCATGAAAAAAAGCACCTTTGGGACTACCGTGACCCTTGGATGACTGAGAATCTCCATAGACATTAAAGATACGCGAAGTTTCCCTCTCTCTCCATTCCTTCTCCAAAGAATGCCGGCCTTTTCAAAAATCCCGCCAGCGGCGGGAAAGAACCCCGACAGAATTCTTCGAGCAAGCGAATCCGGAGGGAGCGGAAGATTCGAATTTGCGTTCGTTCACACGTTCTCCCCTCCCCCCCTTCCCCTCCCCCGAGGGCGCCGAGTCCTCCAGAAAGGAGTAAAGGCGGAGATGAAACTCAACCCGCGTGGGTCCGGACGGGAAGGAGGTGTGGTTACTGCCGCACTGGCTGCTGGGCTGGCCGGCGAGGAAAGATCGGCGTTTAAAGGTAGGAGCCTTAACCGCCGCCCAGGCCTGCCGCTCCAAGAAGCGTGTGGAGGCAGCAATCGCTCCTTCTTAAAACAGGTTCGGTTTGGCTGCCCCCACGCTGCAATTGTTACACCGTTTTCCCGCCCGCTCCGTTTTCGCGATGCATACACCCCTTTTATCTTTCGAGGCTGCGGAGTTGATCGGTTCCCACGTGCGTCGGGGCCGTGGCTCTTGGTGTTAACGCGGAGGGAGGGGAACGGCTTGGGAGGGTTTCCCCATAGGCGGTAGACGGCGGTTCTCCCCATCCTCGCGGTGGGAATGTATCATTAACGATACAGTCCTATAAGGTCCACGTGAGTTGAGATACCGTCGTGGGAAGGGACACGCCGCCTGTCGGGTTTGGCGGAAAGTCTCGCGGAATTGCGGGGGGGGGGGGGTGTTTGTTGCAAAACGGGGACTTTCCCTAAGGCTCCACCGCGTTCCCACGTTCTGTATCCGGATGGGTTCGCCGGTTCTCTCTTTGCCTTGGTCGGGGCCTGTAGTGTACACGCAGCGGGCGGAGGGAGTAGAAGGGGAGGAGGGATACTGGACAGGGAAGTCCATTGGAGTTGGCCGGCTAATAAATTCAAATAACTAATTAATAAATCACTTTGGGGTGTGTTGGTTTCTGGGGGTTCACAAATGACGCCTGGTCTTCAGGCTCGCTGGGTGATCGAGCTGCGCTAATAACGGAGAAGCCGAAGGAGGCGGTAGAATCCCGACGTTGTTTTCGGGTTCTTTATCGCTTGCAAATTGCAGGAGGCAACGGGATTGTTTGGACCCGTGTTCCCGTGTTATTTGGCAGTATTTCTCTCCGAGTAGGAGAAAGGGAGGAATAAGGACAACATTTACTTCCGTTTAAACTCTTGGAACTGTCGTGTATTCGGGAGAGAAAGAGATCCACCTGGTTTGAACTGTGAGAATGTAGTGCTATGTCACACCTGGAGCTCATAAGGGGGAGATAAATCCCTTACTTGAAATTTATTTATTTATTGGTTCGATTTATATGCCGCCCTTCTCCGGAGACTCAGGACGGCTTACAATGCATTAAGCAATAGCCTTCATACTTTTGTATATACCTGCTTAGTAGGGCTTTTGCCTCCCCCTCCCCTCCCCTCCCCCCAAGCGGTGTTCTTTTTTTTTTATACAAAGTCAGCTTATTGCCCCCACAAACCGGGTCCTCATTTTACCTCAAAAGGATGGAAGGCTGAGTCAACCTTGAGCCTGGTGAGAATTGAACTTGCAGTAATTGCAGGCAGCTGGTGCTATTTAACAGCACTTTAGTCTGCTGCGCCACCAAGGCTCTTGCACATAGTTGTAAGAGAATAGTAGAGTCCCAGCTTCTCGAAGTGCTGACTTTTCTCCCCTTTTTCAGTTTGGAATAAAATGGCAGTGGTATTAAGTGTAGAGGGTTTATGACAAAATGAACAGGAGTTAGTAACAGACTTTCTGTAACAATGATTCTAAACAATCGTTCTGTTAAATAGTTTTTCTTAGGGTAACTGGTGGGTACCAAACGTGGAACCTTGAAATAAATAATCTTTGGAGCTAACTGGTAGGAGAATTCTGGGAGCTGTAATCGTACATTGGAGGGACAATAAGCGAGGGGGAAAAATTTCCAGACTTTTTCTGTTCAGTATGCAGGATTATTGTAACAGTGAAGAGTTTTTTGAAACTTTATTAAAAGTTGGGTGTGTCATCTGTAGAATTTTCTCTGCCATCTGCTGCTTCTGTAGACCCAACTTACATTGGAAATAATTAGTAATTTGCTTCAAAACATAAGTTGGATAGCTGATTTCTGTATATGTTTTCATATATATATCATTAAAACAATAAGGCCACACAATAATGAAAAGAATAGTATAATATCAGCAGATATTAGTTATTCCACTAATTTAATAGAAAATATGAAAAAAAAATCTGTACATGAATATCTATCTGCATGTAAATTCTTTGTAGGACAACAACTCTTGGACAGGACTCATCATGAGGAGATCCTCTGAGTAGACTTAAGTTGATACTAGCAAGTTATTGGGCTAGGAGTGGGGAAATTCAGTTTGAAGTGCACCTTTAGCCATGGAAACGTATTGGTGATTTTGTCATGTCATATTCTCCTACCTCACTCCTTACAGAGTAATTGATGGGGAAAAATGAGAAGAGGAAAAATGGTTTATGCCATGTTGAGTTCCTGATTGAAAGACAAGTTATAAATCTAATTAAACAATATAGGGGTATTAAATATTCCACCCTATGGAAAAGAAGGATGCTATTCATATGGAGGACCCAGAGCTTTAAATGGTTTAATCAAGATCCAGGTTAGGATCAAAGCTCTGATGTTGATATATAGTTCAAAAGAACATGTATAGTGATATAAAATTAAATTGAATAATCCTAGTTTTTCAGTATTTTTTAATATCTCATAGGTTTCATTATTACTGAAACGGTTGTAGTTTTAAATTCTATACTGGACTGACGAAAGCAAAGATTTGAATTAATAATGTAGTATTTTAAATTTGTAGAAACATAACAGATTCCAAACTAACATTCTGTTAATGTGGATATGTTTGGCATTCTGTTTCTCTATTCTGTGTCTTCCTACATTCTTGAATATTAAACAATGTAATTTAACACCTGTTTTATAAACAATGATGAACTTATTTTTAGAAAGTTACTAGATGACTCTTATAAATAAGGAAAGTCTGAACCCAACTTTGCTGTCCAAACTTTATTGTTAAAAGAGGATAATAAATATATATGATTACAAGTTATGCTGGAATGAATTGGCTTCCCATCTCATGCAGTCATAGTTTATTGAATAAGGGAGTTTATATAATACACTCAGGGTATAGTTTACAAGCCATGATGCCTGGTTTATACAGGTGACATGAAAACTAAACAGATTATATTTGTGAACTACCAAGAGTCCTTTAGGATTGTGACAGTCCATAAAAATGATGAATAAATTGCTGAGTGTCATGTGTAAATTGTACATTGTACAATGTACACAATGCTGGGCCTGCTTCTTTCATTTTGAGGGCTGTCCATTCAGTGTTAAGTCGCTTGGGCGGAACAAGTCTTCATTTGGTTTTTCTGGCCAAAACCACTTGATCAGACACTTGAGTTTTGCTCAAGGGACTTGGGAGAATGGAATAATAAGCTTCTGTATTTTTCATGGAAAAATCAATATCCCCTTGATTCTAGCTGAATTATTTGACTGGGGAAAACAGTCTTGGAAAGAAAAAAAGAACAAATTTGCTGCTTAATTGGGAATAAAACTCCTTTTTTATCAGCTTCTAGTTTTAAATTTATAAAGCTTGCAAGGTGGGATTTGAAATGGAATGGTATGATTGAATATTCAAAAAACAATAGAGGATGTATTATGGTACTGTATTCATAATATGATTAGAGAAAGCAAATAAAGAAATTACGATCCAAGCTTTTTAGTATATTAGTTGAATTCTGAACTGCTTCGAATACTAAAGCTACTAAATTCATTCTAATTTGAACAGCATTTGGTAAATTAAAGTTTTTAATGAATCTAAAAACAATTCATAGAGATCAGTCCAAGAGATCCAGTGATCTTTTTGCTGTCCTCCGGGAAACTGAAAACCCGGCTTTTTGTACTGGTTAGATTAATATTGATCAGAGATGGTATAAGTTTTAACAAAAATATGACATTCTGTTTATCCAGTTTTGTAAGGGAAACGATACTGCTTCCATTTTTTTTTATTTGCACCACTTCTAAGCATTTTTCTTTTTAGCATATTTTCACAAGCAAGTTCAGTAACTACCAGCTAGTTACAGTTTGATGGTGACACATAACAGACTTGCAAAAAGCTAAATAGGGTGCAAACATGGTTAGTATTTGGATGGAAGTCACCTAGAAATCCCACAGCTGCAGACTAGACTGGGAAATTTTTTAAAAATCCCAGAAGTTGGCAGTGGCAAACATTTTACTTCTGCCAGAAAACATGGATATATCCATGTAGTAATGAGTTAAGTGACTTAAATTCAACTTTAAATGATTTTATTTGCTCCACATTCACATTGCATCTGAATGCTCAGTTTGAAGCTATGGTTAGATTATCTTTACCTATCTTATTCTATGGCAAACACAATCAAACATGGTCATTATAAGATATTAAGGTGAGATGACTAGTTCATGGTAGATAATGAGTTTAAGTAGATACCTTGGAACTGTTGGTTAATCTAGAATTCTTCAAGTATATTAATACACAATTTTATCTAAGATTGTATTATGCTTGCGTAATACAATCTCATGCAACATATAACTACTGTGGTACGATGGTTATGGCTCAGATTATGTATGTGGCTCAAGTCCACTCTTATCCACGAAAACTGATTGAGAGATTAGGGGCCAGTTGCTTTCTCTCAACCCAGTTTATCCCATGGAGTTGAGAAGAGAACCATGGAGGAAGTAGTGCTGTGGTTATGTGATTTACATTCGGATCCCAGACAACTGACTCATACTTATGACGGTTGCAGTGTCCCTCCAACAAGCAAAGTCAATGGAGAAGCCAGATTCATTTAACAATTATGTTACTAACTATGTAACTAATTAGTAGCAATTATGTTATTAATTTAACAACTGCAGTGATTCACTTAGCATGTGGTGAGAAAAATTGTAAAATGGGACAAACTCACTTAACACATTTCTCACTTAGCAACCTAAATTTTGGGCTCAATTGTGGTCGTAAATTGAGGACTAGCTGTATTGAGAATTGATTCCAGGATATCTTACAGATCATTGCCTCTAAAATTTGCCTGCCTGCTTTTCCGATCTTTTGGAAAACCCTGCTAATTCAGTAGTCAGATCTGGATAAGAATTAGGACCACCTCTGTCATAACAAATCGTTTGACCCTGAGATCAGTTTCCTCCAGTACCAGACCTGCTGGATACCATTTTCTCCCTTCTCCATTCTCATTTTATTATGTTATAAATCTTGATAACATTGCATTGTTTCAATACAGTGAGGTTTATAGATTATCATTAAAGACAATTAATATTCTATTGTTTAGATAGCTTAAAATATTTTTTCTCTTTTCTATTCTAAATGTCATATCAATTATTTGTTACAGTTTAGGATGTCAATATTACAAGCATAAAATTACTTTTTTTATCCAAAGTTGAGTAGAAAAAAAACTACTAAAATTCACCTTGAAAGTATTTGTTGTACAGATAGTCCTCAATTTACAACCATAATTGAGCCCAACAAAATTTCTGTTGTTAAGTGAGATATTTGTTAAGTGACTCTTGCCCCATTTTATGACTTTTCTTATTAAGTGAATCACTGCAGTGGATAAGCTGGTAACCTGGTTATTAAGTGAACAGTGATTTTGATCTTAAATTGATTATTTAATATTAAAGTTCCCATTGTATGGTTCTCTATCACTATATATACATGTCAATTAAAAAATATATAAATGAGCAAATTCAACAACAGTTAAAATACTAAAAAGTAGAAAAAAAAGAAATTAAAAACCTATTGGGTTTCTGGCTCTTTCTTTTAATACATCTAATTTGCAATATTTATAGACATTTAGGCCACCCTAGAAGTCAGATTAACAAATGATTATATTTGTCATGCGGCACATTTATTTTTTACCAGTGGGTTCATACTTTCCTGGGTCAGCAAACTGATTATTCTTGTGTAACAGTGTCTAATTTTATATACCAAGGCTATTCTCATTTTTAGTTTCGTTTTAATTTCTTCAATGTGACTGGTTTGAGCAATGCAGATAGAGTGAAAAATATCTTTCTAAAAGATTAAAGATATACTAAAAAAGAGGGGTCTTAATGGTTTGAATGTGCAGTGTTTCTAATTATTGCTTTGATTGCAGGAAGTGAAAATGGCTGAAAACGGAGATAGTGAAAATATGTCTGATTTGGAAAAGAAGGTTTGTCAACAAATTGAGGTATGAATACTTTTGGTATGCATATTAAGATAATGTACAAATGTAAGGCTTTGGATAATAGGGCATATAATCTAATATAGCTGAAGTACATTAGACTGGGACAGATTGATCTACACTACAGCTAAACTACTATAAAGGCTACCCTATAGTAAAATTGTAAATGTATGCACTAATTGATTAGAGGTGACACTCCGTTGGATACAATCTCAAATCAGAATTTTCCATTTTAAAAAATTGGAATTGATAATATAGCAGTGATCCCCAACCTTAATGGCTTGGCAGCCTGGCAGGGAGAGGAACTGGCGCAAGTAGTGGGCCGGTGCGTGTGCGCGCCAGCCCACCAAGTGCGCAGCCCACTTCTGAACTGGCCGCAGCCCGGAGTTTAGGAACCCCTGCTTATAATATAAAACAATCATTAGGATAACTACTTCATGTCATTGTTTACATTTTAAGAAGAACATGAATTTTTAAGATAGTCCAGAGTACCTGTAGTCTAAATTTACTGACTGTAATTGGGACCCGCAACTCTGTCACTAAATGGTATGATTGTTAAGTGAAACATTACACGACCGCACCTACATATGACATCAGTTCTGGCGGTGGTCTTTACTCAAATCACTGTGGGTCCTTAAGTGTGGTCTCATATGACAGCAGCTTGCAACTTCCTGCTGGCTTCCCCATTGATTTTGCTTATTAGGAGCCAGCAGTGACAGGCATAAATGGCAGTCACATGACACGGTGATCATCATAAATGCTTGCCAGTTGTCAAGTGCTTAACTCATCCTGTGGTAGTTGCACCTTAGCGGAAGAGTCATAAGTATCCCTTTTTCAGTGCTGTCGTAACTTTAAATGAGTTCTTAGTAAGTGACAACCAACTGGGACAGGAAAAAGATGCAATAAAAGCTTTTGCGGTAAGGGAACTAGAACTGAATAAATGAAGCAATAGAGTATCATACTTTGGATTCTGACGTTTGTATTATTCTTATTTATTTCCACAGTACTACTTTGGTGACCACAATTTACCCCGAGACAAGTTTCTTCAAGAGAAGATCAAATCGGATGATGGCTGGGTGACTTTAGAAACAATAATCAAATTCAATAGGTAATACTAATAGTGGGCTCATCGTTTTGTAACAAAAAGAAGAGCTGCTCCTATTTTATAGTAAACCTGTGTCCTAGGCTAGATTTGATTTTAAATCTCTGTGAAAAATAGCACTTTTCATTGTGTATGTTTGATTATATACTGATTCATGTTTATTAGTTGTCATAATAATGAAAATTGGCAGTTTTTAATTTGTGTGTGTGTATTCTGCAGCATAATTTGAAATATCTGGCCATATATCTCCTGTGGATTTTCTCCTTAAAAACAATTAAAGCCACAGAGGAGAATATTTGTTAAAGCAGATTTTTGTTCTGACTTTTTCTTTTTGCATATACATGCATAGCTTTTTCCCCTGCATGGAATGAGGACATTTATTAAGAATTCTGTTCTATTCTACTTCAGTACAGTGTGATCTTTTAGGACATAAGGATATACTCAGTGGGTTTTTATATAGCATGGAAAAAAGTCTACATTTCTTATATGTCTACAATCATAACTACAGAAGTTTGACTGTTTAAATCTCGAAAGTTGTATGTACTTTCATTGCTTCACATAAAAGTAGTTTTTTACTTCTGTGCTTTTGATATTAAAGTAAGCCTATATATGGAAACTTACAGAGGGAATAGGTGGCTTTATGGAATTTGAATTATGATGCAGAAGGCTGTTAGTGGAAAAATGAATGGTTTAATTCTGGGAAAATTGGTGGTAATGGAAAAGAGGCAACAAAATGTCAATCCATGAATTTCTTTAAACTGGATTTTTCTTGTCTATCAAATATTCTAGTTTAATTTACATTCACGATTGGTTTACAACAGGGACACATAAATTAGAAGCTATAAACAGACTGAGCCCCCCCCCCCCGTTTTGCTCCCCCCAGGTTTGCCCCCTCTGAGGCTAGGTTGTACAGGAGTTAGCAGAGAAAAATAATTAGGGATTGAGAATTCTCCCAACATCCATGTCTCCTGCACAAACGATTATATCAGATTTGGACACAGATATCCTAAAAAGTCTGGGTCTGCTTGTTTTGGAGCCCATTCAGCTATGTTCTAAGAAATGACAGATCATTAGTAGCATAGACAGGTAGTTCTCAACTTTTTTCAATTTATGACCACAATTGTGCCCAAAATTTATGTTGCTAAGTGAGACATTTGTTAAGTGAGTTTTTCCCCATTTTACAACCTTCCTTGCTATAGTTATTAAGTGATTCATTGCAGTTCTTAAGTTAGTAGCACGGTTGTAAAGTGAATCTGGCTTCCCCATGTCAGAAGGTCGTAAAAGGGGATCACATGATCCCAGGACACTGCGAAGGTAATAAATATGAATCAGTTGCCAAGTGTCTGAATTTTGATCACATGACCATGGGGATGCTGCAATGGTCATAAGTGTGACGAATGGTCTTAAGTCACTTTTTGCAGCGATGTAACTTTGAACGGTCACTAAATGAACTGTTGTTAGTTGAGGACTACCTGTAGTTGTCAGTTTGCTGGTTCTCTTAGAATGTTGTTTCTGGATAAGCGCTCAGACAAAACAACACTTGGGATGAGGAGATTGTGGATTTAGGAAGAAGGTGGAGAGCAGACCTCCTGATGCCAGTTAAGTGGTCACTATCCTGAGTCTGGGTCAATTCCTGTGAGGGACATTTCATGGGCAGAACAAGTAAGTCCAGACTGGAGATAAGAATCAGTAGGTTGAACATGTTCAGGGCTGCTTTGAAAGGGGTTCATCTGTAAGGAAGAATAACAAGATGGCACATTCATTAGATGAATAGAATCACGGTCCCTGCTGAGACAAGGGTGGCAATAATTTTCACTGGTCTGCTCTTTAAAGTCCATTTGTGAGGAAATACCACCTATAGGGTGAACATCTGGAGCGTTATAGAGAGGTGGTGCCCCATCAATCAGCTTGGTATTCCTTTCATCTGTTTGGATGAATTTTGGGCTGGAGCACCTTTTTTTGTTTGTTTTGTGGAAGTGTTAGGCACTCGGAAAATGAACTTGTCAGCTTTTCAACAGGACAGCTAGAGGGTAGCAAAGTATTAAGAGATTCAGTTGCAGCAGTCTCTGTCTGAAGCATTGACTTAACTGCCTCAGGTTTGCATGTGGTGGTTTCCTGGTTTTCTTCTATAGGGAGGGCTAGTTCTTCCTTATCTTCCGTAGGGTCAGCTGATGTCTGTGTCTTCCTTAATGCCTCCTGTGCTTATCTGGACCTGACCTTGAAGTTGGTGGAACATTCTGCTCTATAGGTGGTTGCTGGCTGATGTTACAAGCTCTGGAGCTTATATTATCCTCCTGTGGGAGCTTGGCTCTCCTCCCAGAATTTGGCAGAGACTGCAAACTGCTATTGTGAAAAACACATGCAGATGTGATTTGAAAAACCCAAGAAATATTTACATTTAAAAATCACTGAAGGGAGTGATAAATGGTTAAAAGCTAATATTATTCTTTCAGGACCTTGCCATCTGGGAAGCTAAGAGTTTTTTGTAAGATTGCTGGAATATACTGCTGAAAAAGTTGTGAGTGGCAGGGTAGTACTATTCCATTTTTCCACCTACCCTCATTGAGAGGATTAATTGTAGAGATTGCACACATTTCATTTAAATGTCAGAAGATGTGTGACTGTCAGAAGATACTTGACTGAGGCAACAAAAATAATATAATAAAAATAACTTCTTTATCTTCTGTTTTGTAGGCTAAATCGCCTTACAAAAGACTTTGATGTAATAGTTGGGGCATTAAAGAAATCGAAGACCGAACTTATGGAAGTTAGTGAAGATAAGACTAAAATCCGAAGATCTCCAGACAAACCGTTGCCTGAAGTTACTGAACAATATAAGAATGCAATTAAAAGCAGATCTATATATATTGTAAGTGGAATATTGTGAATTTCAGGTTTGATATGATTGACCCTGCCTTTTCCATCAGGGTTTTCTGTTTAATGGCCCCAAGAACATGGAAAGGATTCCAAATTCTATTTAGTTGATGTGTGATGAAGTCCCCTATAAATAGAATATACTCCTTTGCTTTTTCAGTAACTTGCATGACTCCTGATAACTTACTTCATATCACAAAGCAGTCCTATATTTCAGCAAAGAATGTATTGTGTTTTGATCTTAGATTCTCAAGAATTCTGTTTATAATTACCACAGTCATAATAATCTAAAATCGCTCTGAAAAGAAGTTCTTATTTTTCTGAGCTTCTCTATTATATATTAGAAAAATTATTCAAATTGTTTAGTTTGATGTGTTGTATATTTAGATACTTACCTATCATGCTGTTCCTTGCAGGGTAAGTATGTAAAGTAGAGAAGGAATGAGGACTTATGGCATAACATAAGAAAAGGAAACATCGCTAAATTTATTTTTTTACTGACCCTTCACTGTATCTCTTCTATACCTTTCTGTTGTTGTAACATATCTCTGCTTTCCCTTTCATACACTGCTTTATATATTTACTTTTGTTCTTTAAAACTCATCTTGCTTTTTTTGAGGATTTCATCAATTCTAATAATTCTTTCTTAGTCTTCCCCTCCTCGTGACCCCTTCCTATTTCATCTGCTTGTTTGGTTGGATTTTGATCTTCTTTCATTTTCTCCAGCTGAACAAAGTAGCTGAAACTTTTTTTGTATTCATTCTGCATTCATTCATCCACCATTCATTTTTGACCGTATCTCTTCCTGTTTGAAAACATATGTTTATTAAACACCCCATTTCTCCCATATTCAACTTTTATGTTTCTCATACCATAACCAACTCTCATCCCCCTCTTAAGAAAGTGGTAAGAAGTACGTTATTACAAATAACCATTTTCACTTCTTGACATAGGTACTATAGTACCCTTTCACCATCGTTTGCTTAACTTAAAAGTTTTTCAGCCCATTTCCCCATCTTTAAGAAAGGTGCATCTTCTAGTACAGCTGCCCTCAACTTTTGGGGCACCAGGGAGAAGTTTCATGGAGAGAGGTTTTTCTGGGGACCGGTGAGGGTGTGGTTTCCCTTGTTGCCTGCATCCTGCGGATAGGGCTTTGCTTATTTGCACAGAGCGGTTTCTGGCATACCTTAGCCTGCTGGCAGTCCACAGACCAGGGGTTGGGGACCCCTGTTCTGGTAACATACGTACAATAAGTTTTTGGTCAAGCAGACTTCTCTTGATCTTCAGTATACAATATTTACGATTGTTGTTGAAAATTTTATTTTTCTAAGCCGTGAGTTTTATTTAAATCTGAAGCCTTTGCTGTAAGTTGTATGGTTTCTGCTCTGTGTTAATTATTTACACACAAACTCAGTAATTGATTATGGAGGAACAAACCACATTAAAAGCACTTATTGCTTGCATATAATAATGGAACTTTTTTTCTGCACTGCACAGATCGGTAAAATACTGAACTTAAATATGAGAATTATTTAAACTTTTATTTTTCAGAAAGGTTTTCCATTAGATGCAACTTTAGATGATATCAAAGAATGGCTGGATTGTAAAGGCAAAGTAGAAAACATTCAGATGAGGAGAACACTTCAGAAAACATTTAAGGTAATAACCTTTGAACAGAATTCTATTAACTCTAAATTTCCTAAGGCTGTATGGGATTCCAAGATGAGATTCCGTTCTACTTTTACTTAATCCAGGGATCCATTTTTGCAGTATTTGATACTGTTGAATCTGCCAAGGAGTTCGTTGGGACGCCAAACCAAAGATATAAGGACACAGAGCTGATTGTGCTTTTCAAGTAAGTATCATTTCAGTTCTGCATTTGGATTTTGACATGGCTTCATGCAAGTCTTCAGATTGGGGGGGTGGGGTGGGGGGGCGGCTACTTTTTGTCTTCAAGACTTGTTTTTAAAATCTTGCTATTTTTATTATTTTACAATATTACTGCATGGGATTTACATATTTTTCTTCCCACAATTAGTTTTTTTCTGGTGTCAGAAGAAGACCCAGGGACATTGATTCTATGGTGTTACAGCACTTTCTGTTTATTTATTTTAGAAAATTTATATTGGTGCCTACTCACCCATGGCGATTCAAGGCGGCTTACACGAATATAAAAATGTTATATTACATGAGAGTATGCTAGTAAACCAAGTCCATCAGTTTATACAATGGGTTTGGCCACCTTTTCTTCTTTTGATGATCCTTTTCTCTTGAAGAATCTTTTGAAGACATGTAAATAGACATGGATGGGGATATCCATTTTTTCCTGAAACTTTCTTTCTTTTGGACCTCCTCATCTTGAATTGTGGTAAAAGGAGATGAGCTAAAATGAGAGGCTATGAATTATTTGAGGTCATAAAATCTCTCCTTTCAGATATTATTTTTTTTATCTTTGATCTTTATAGTAGATTCATGGCATGTCTATAGTAGATTCATGGCATGTCTTGAATCAACAAGTTACTCTGGGTCAGAATCATTTACTGAACAAGGATTTATTGAGTAAATGTCTATGGAGATTCTGTTATCCAGGTCATGGTTGTCCCAAAGGTGCTTTTTCAAGAGGCAACGGGACTTTCTGTTTTTTCTTTGAAGACGTTTTGCTTCTCTGAAGAGCTGAAGAAGCTTCTTGGATGAGAAGCGAAACGTCTTCAAAGAAAAAACAAAGTCCACTTTTCTCTTGAAAAAGCACCTTTGGGATTTATTGAGTACTTTCTTATTTTATTTGCAGGTTAAGGTCAGACTGTCAGTAGCAATTGGCACTAGTTGCCAACTAAGCTAAGATTAGGTATTAATGCTGATTAATGTTTTCAAATCATGGCCTGAAGATTTCATAGTACTTTAGTACTTTTCGGTAGTAATCCCAAATGCAGATGCTTAACTGGATTATATTCTGTGCAGGGAAGATTACTTTGCCAAAAAGAATGATGAGAAGAAAAGGAATAAACTGGAAGCAAAAGCAAAGGCTAAACTGTAAGTGACAATGTCAACTTTGAAATTAACTCTCGGCTTTTGTGCCCGAGTTTTGTTACCTGACTTTTCCTTCTTTTTATAACAGAGAGAAGGAAGAGAAACAGAAACATGCTGAAGAAACTGAAATGGTACATTCCCTTTGATTTCACTGACTGTATGGTCCATTCTGGTGGTGGCTACATTTTTCCATGCTTCGGTGGCTACATTTTAGGCTACAGTGGTAAAATAAAGAGGAAATTGCTTAGACTAACCACAATCTGATTTCCTGAAACTAAGGCAAATGGGAAAACTTCACTTGGATACTTCAAATCAACAGCCTTTAATGGTTACGTGTTTACCAGTCTCAATTCTAAAACATATACCCCGGAGGAGGTACCCAGTGCAATTCTTCCAATAAAGTGAAACTCCTTGATAGATGTGAACCTTGATAGATATTATTTTCTTTTAAAAATAGGCCTATAAAGGCTTTTTACTGGGTTTAGGATGAATCTAATGAAGTATATGAAAACAAGGACCTTAGAAGCAGTCCTATGGTTTGTGGCTCACTCATTCTATGGAAAAGGCCGTCCTGACAAAGGCAACCAAATCACTTGCAAAGGCTCATAGAATGTATGTAGGTATATGAATAAGACTGTTTTCCCCAAATAAGCACCCAGAAACTGTTGAGCTACATTATCCATGTTGTATAGTATGTTGCATTAAACACTAATGAACGTTTTGCTATAATTTATCTGAAAAATGCCAGCTTGGGAAGGCTGAAGACAACCATTTACTTCTTCAAATTTGAAAGACACTTAATGCAGAAAACTGTATTCCCCGAGAACTACCAAACTGCAAAACATGTTCATTTTCATTTGTACCTTATTGTGACTTTGAGTAATAGCCATACCTTATGCTAAACAGACCCACCAGTTCTGCTCTCACACTGCCAAAATCTTAGAAAATAAGATGACGATGTAAAATATTTTTTCCAGTCTTTTAGAGCAATGGTTCCTAAGATTAGGTCTTCAAATGTTGTGGGTCTTCAACTCATATCATTATCAAAAATGGTCATCAGGATTCTACTCTTAACAGTTGGAGATCCAAGGTTAAGAACTAAACCTTCAGGCAGAGGAATTTCATATAAGCTATTAAATGAGCTGCGATGGTGCAGTGGTTAGAATGCAGTACTGCAGGCTACTTCTGTTGACTGCAATTTGGCAGTTCGGGTGGCTCAAGGTTGACTCAGCTTTCCATCTTCCTGAGATGGGTAAAATGAGGAGCCTGATTTTGGGGGGCAATATGCTGATGCTGTAAATCGCTCAGAAAGGGCTGTAAAAGCACTGTGAAGTGGTATGTAAGTTTAAGTGCTATTGCTAAATCTTCATGGGATGAATACAGTATTACTTCATTGGATATTCTGCATACAGTATTTTGTTTTCATTATCAAGCAAGGATGAAGCGTATCACCTAGAGAAAAATAGCTATGTTGAATCAAATTTATGGGCAATGGGAATATTCAGAAAAGCACTGTAGAACAAACCAAAGTTGTTCCTACTTTCTTCTATGGGATTTGGGGTGTTGGATGTCTGGAGAAATGAACCAGCTCTATGAGAATCTGCTTCCACACACCTCCAGGCCACTTTCCCAGTAGGTAGGACAGTAGTCCCTAGCATTCATCTCACTTAGTAGGGAACCCTTGTATCAAATTCAGATACCGCCCATCTACTATCCAAACGGGCAGTTTATAGATGAAACCATATAAAGGAAATGCAGTTTAAAAAAGAATTCAAAAGGTGTAAAAAATAAAACAAGAGCAAAATTGAAAAGACAATTTAAAAAACCGTGAGAGCAGCCTCAAGCCATCAGCCAACCCCAGGGTTGTGTGCCATTCTTGGATCCCCATGCCATTTGGCAAAGCCGGGTTTTCACGTTCTTCCAGAAAGCTGAAATAGTGGGAGCCAATTTTACCTCCGAGGGCAAGATATTCTATAGGATGAGAACAACAGCCGAGAAGGCACTTTTCCTAGCCCCCATCAATCAACATTCTTTAACAAAAGGGGTCTGTAACATAACACTCCCTGCCTGACCAGGTGGGACAGGTCAGTTGTAACTGGGACAAGATGGTTTCTCGGGTATATTTTTTTTTATTGGATACATCTTTATTGATTAAATTATGGAAGGATCTGAGGGCAGTTTTTTTACTGAAATCCAGTAAATCATCTAGGGCATAAATAAGTATCTTACACATATTTTCCTCTTTTTGTATTCAAAAGAAATATCTGGCAGAGAAACAGGGATGCCTGCTGAAGTTTTTTGGTGACTTGGAAGATCATACTTGTCGAGAAGACCTCCATGCTGTTTTTTCAAATCATGGTGAAATCAAGTGGATAGACTTTGTCAGGGGTGCAAAAGAGGTCAGAAGGGTTACTCTGATATTTCTAAATGATGAAATGTTAAGCAGATAGGTGGCACTCTGTTTTCAGGGCTAAATATGCATAATTTAAAGCAAGGACTATTGATTCTTTTACTATTCTTGTTCATCTCCCTTAAATTTACTGGTAGAACATGTGTTAATGGAAAAAATCTTAATGGAAAAAAACTTGATAGATTTTTCAACTATTCACTAGAGAAGTAATTCCCAGTAACACTGCAGAACACAAATGACTTTCTTGCTTGCTAAGCAATGATGGCCTTGAAAATTCTAAATCCTAGATAAGTTGCTCACTGCAACAATTTGTTCCCTGCCAATATATTCCTTGATGCCTAATTTCTTTTTGTAGTTAGAGAGGCAAGTATCTCAAGGATAAGGGAGAAATGTGCAGATTATGTGTTGCTTTCTGCAGCGTCTGCTTTCTGCATTTGTCAAAGAATATCCTAAGACAGTTATCTGTCCCCCAAATGAGTTATATAAATATTCAGTTCTGTTGAGTAAAATGAAGCTTATAGAAAACTTAATTCGCAGCCACTGTTGCTTCAAGCTGTAAATCTCTAGGACAGTGATGGCTAAACTTTTCCAGACTGAGTGCCCAAAGCACGCCGAACCCCCAAAATGCAATGCACGTGCCCCCCGCATGTGCGCACGGCCCTTTGTGTGCGCCCCCCGCACATGCGTGCCAGAGATTCGAAGACCAGTTGGCCAGCGGGAGGCACACACACATGCGCAGCAGAGCTGAGCTAGGCCGACAGCTCGCATGCCCACAGGGCGCTGCGTACCACTTCTGGCACACGTGCCATAGGTTTGCCATCACGGCTCTAGGAAGATACTATTTTCTGGCTGATGGTTGGAAGCAGCCAAATAGGGGTTCAGAACTATCCTATTCCTGCCCAGGAAATTGTCAATTGCAAATATCCCATTGTGAGCATGAAAATGGCTGGATGGTGCCTGCAGTGATTCAAATTATATTTCTGTATACAGGGTATCATCCTGTTCAAGAGCAGTGCCAAAGGTGCGCTGGATAAAGCCAAAGAAGCAAATAATGGGAAATTACAGTTGCGAGAGAAAGATGTCACGTGGGAAGTGCTTGAAGGAGATGTGGCCAAAGAAGCACTGAAGAAAATCATGGAGAGCCAGCAGGAGCTGTTAAACAAAAAAAGAGGAAAAGGTGATTTGTTCCTTTAAGGCATTTACTTATCATTTAATCTTTCCTGGAAGTTATACTTAAATTGTTGAAATGGACTGTTCTCTTCTGAGAGGAGTTCTGATCTAGCGAGCCCATCTGTTTGTGTTAGAAAGGAGGCTCCATTTGTCTTCAGTGGCTCTGGAAAGGACCAGATTTATACGCATACAGGACAAGCCACGAGAGCAGCCTGTCCACAGTGGTGACAAGGAAAGGAAGGAGAGTCCTCAGCCCCTGTTATTGGGCTGAGGGAAAAATTGGTAAATGCAATGATCTGAGCTCTATAGCCCAGCCAAAGGCCTTGCTTTTGAGTAGCCTATGGCTTTCTGACATTGAAGGAGGTAATCCTTGACCACCAAACCAATTTTTAAATACTGTATCAAGACATTAAAAAGCCTCTGGTTGGCTTTTGGTTTTAAATACCTCTTCTCTTCAAAAATGGATAAACATTTCAGATATAGCCTTCTGGTGATATCATCACTTGGCTCTTAGAGTATAATTTTTTTTCTTAAAAATACCCTCTGGCCAAAAGATGTAGAACATCAAGTTCTTGGTAATAGCCTCATGCAGGAAAGAACTGCAGACTTTCTTTCATATATTAGATAATTAGGACAACTAATTCACATTTTTTTAAAAGAGCAGCCTAGCCCACAGCAGATTCTTTGTGGTACTACAGGGGGAAGAAATGGATTTGTGGCTTGCCACTAATTCTGTACTGGGACCCATATCTGCGTTTTTGTATATTGTATTCTCCAATCATTGAAAATTGGTAGTTTCTTTACCAACAAAAGCTTTTTCATTACAGAGGCATCCCCTTTTGGGTTTGTGAGTCTGTTTGGATTTGTTCAAGTTGTACATTTTCATCTTTCAAGGTTCCTTCCATTTTCAGATACATTGTTGATCCGAGCATGTTCTTCAGTTGACCCAACAAAGATCTTGGAACAATTATTACTTACAGCTAGGCCTCAGGATTTTTCCTACTAAAATGTGACTGTAACCACTTCCCTTGTGGTTTCTAGAAAAGTCTTTTGTTACCAGTCCATGATAGCAATCAAACACATTTGATCGAAATATAAACTTCTGTTTTCACACATCACCCAGAAAGTGGGGTTTTCCTATAAAACCTCTTCTATAAATCTCAGAATTGTTTAGTGGTTTCAAGAAAAGGAAAAAGAAGCCATGGGTACACTCACATCAACATGTCCACTGAACTGCCATAGTCCTGCCTCCCCCCAGCCATTGTTTTTTTTAGGGAATAAAGTAAATATGAATCATGGACTAATGTCTTAGATATCAGTAATCTTAATAGCTCTACATTGGTTTAGTGATATTAGATCTCAAAAGTTATCTATAAATCAAATAAATATAAATCATATATTTAAATTATAAATCATATAAATCATAAATTATAAATCATATAAATCAAATAAAAAAAATTATCTAGCTGCTAATGATCAAGGCATAGTTCCTTTCTAACAGAGTAGCCTTGCTGATGCAAAGTTTCCAGGACTTTTAAAAAGTTCTACTAGCAAATATCCTTACCAGCATAGTGCAGTCTTGCATAGATCTATGGAAGGGTAATCACGGGATGGAAGGCATCAAAAGCACTCAAACGTCCTTAAGCGTTGGCTTATGTCAAAAACTGAAGTAAAATACTTTTTTTAAAAGCAGGCACTCGCCCTTTTTCCCAGTTGGCTTTCCTCCACTCCTTTAAGGTAACATAACTGTACTATTTAGTCTTCTAAATCTTCTCCTCCTTACAAAGTTAATCTCTTTTAAAACCATTTTGTTGGTAGAATGCCTGGAGAAGAACACTGGAGCAGATTTTGTAAAATTACTTCTTTGTTGATAATCCCAGTATCTTGCTAATAGTGCCTTATATTTCACTAGCTGGAACAATTAGAAATATACAAATCTTAAGAGGAAAAATTCTGTAATTAACTCATGCCAGATAGTGCACTCTTCATTGCCATAACATAGGAAAACATGTTTAATATCTTCTTAATATCTATTTATTGCTATCAGAGCAGCAGCTATCTCAGTAGTCAAACAAATGAACTGGTTATTAGAAGAGTCATTGTATTCACTAGGAACTGTACACTAGAGAAGAGCTTCCATTCATCTTGGATAATGCACAAAAGGAAAACAAATGAGAGTCAACCTATTTGGGTTATCTCCATACACCAGGTCACCTACAGTAATAAGCTGTAGTTCACAGAAAGCATCTGTGTTCCTTTATTATTCATGTATAACTGGAAATCACTAAACCTTCTTTCCATTGTGCACTATGAGCACTCCTTTGGATATAAGAGAGACTAAGGGATTACTCTTTACATTTAGCTAACACGGATACTGGCTGTATTGGCTGGAAATTTATGGAAACAGTAGTTCTACCTATGGTCCAAATTGAGGAGGGCTATTTTATATGATCGCCTTCCCTCTTACTGTGAGGAATACATTTCTAAAGTGTGATGATCTTAATTCTGTACATACCCTTTTTCGCCAGGTCGCAAAGGCAAAGGCAAAGGTGGCAAGGGAGCACAAGACACACAAGACAAAAAAGTGAAATTCCAAGGCAAGAAAACAAAATTTGAAAGTGAAGATGAAGAGGAGGGTGAAGATGCAAATACCACAGGTGACTTCTTTGTGGAACAAGATACCAAAACGTACAGGTTATAATGGTGTGCTATTAAGTTATTGTCAAAGCTTCTGTGTTAATCTTTGTTAGCTGTTTGGAATTTTGCTCCCCAAAACAGAGTTGTGTAGGCTGTTGGAAACTTGCCAGCTAAAACAGTTTGTAATATTCAGAAGCATTATTTTAGGTCTGCAGCATTCTTTTTGGAGACTACACATTCTGCATAAATGATGAATCAGACTGGAAAGCTGAGTTTCACATCCATGGGTTGCATAGCATGAGATTGGAATGTCTATTCCTTAGTGGTTCTCTCAAATTTGTTAATGTAAGCAGTTTTGTAATCTGTTCTGAGAAAGAGACCAAATTAAATGACTATGGTGTCATTTAATATATAATACAATATCAATCAGCTTACTATGACTTAACTTATTTACTGTAGGTCTGATTGTGATTGTTGTAGCCCACCATGACTGAAATCTCAATTTTACAGGGTCAGCAAGTCCCAAGAAAAGACCACTTGAAGAAGACAAGCAAGAAGAGCCAGCTGCCAAACAGCTAAAAACAGAAAATGGTGCTGGAATTCAGTTGTAATACTTCAAAAACCATTTAATGCAATTTTTATTATTTTAATACAGTTTTAAGTCATTCCACCATCCATCTTTTTTCCCCCACAAGAGAATCTGATAAAATCTACTTTGATGTCTACCTGTAAGACAAAGAAGAAAAATACATTTTGAGATTCTTTCTTGGAATAGTGCCTGATTTAACATGCAGTTTTAAAAAAATATCTGATGAGTGAGCCTATAATTAGGCTGAAAGAAAAGGCTGAAGAATCAGAACTGTATCCTAATATCTGTTATGTACAAAACTTTTATTGAGTAGTGTATAACAAATATCAGTATCTTGTGTATTCAAATTTTGTGAATCTTTGTGTTCAGTTACAGATGTATCAAATTGTATTGCTACCTTTAGTTTATTGGAAGAAAAAAAAATCTATAAATAAAATAAAGCAACTATGTAGAGTTACCATGAGCACTTAACTCCAATTTTATACTTGTCTTCAGTGTTGCAATAGAATTTTCTCAAAATATAATACTTTTCTTTGTATGACAATGACAAAGTGTCGACTCCAATAAACAGATGTTGCTTTAGGTTTTAGTGCAGAGGTGTCTAAATATAGCTTCTGCTCTTCATATAGCAAAATCCAATATAGATTACATTATGTGATATAGGAACAAGGGATTTGATCTAGTAAAGCCAATCATGAATACACCCTGCCCATAACAACTTTTATTTCAGAGACCCTAAAAATAGTATTGTAATGTATTATGAACAAAAGATGTCCATCGATTCTATGCTTCTCTACATGTGAAAAATCTCATTTAGTTTTAATTTCTAACGTGCACCCTCCACAAGTAAATGTGCTAATTTGAGAGTTTATTATAATTGTGATCCATCTTCTTGGATTTGTGGGCTGAACTTGTCTTAACCAAATAGCTAGATCCATATTATTCCTGTTCTTCCCAACTACTCTACTTGTGATAGACAAAAAGCAAATTAAAACAGAACAGATATAGGATGCTTCCTATCTTGTAAATACTCTTCCTGGTACCGCTGTGGAGGACTCTAGAAATACTATATTTTGTTTTGCTTGTTCACTGTTGTTAGCTAAATAGTTAATAGTGACTTGAGAATGCAGGTAGAATGGAATGTGTGTGCTAAACAGAAAGATTGCATAGGCCTTTCAATCTGAAGGCAAAATGAATTTGGGGTTTGTACAGATGCTCAGTTTATACTTGTCTGCAAATGCTTTAATATGTAGATTTTCCTATGATTACACAGTTGCTTGGCACAAGATCCCAAGTTTGACTTAAGGAGTTTTAGGCATAGGCTAAATGTGTCTTCCTGCACACTCCAAAGCATCTTTTTTACTTTATGCACCGGTACTAAAATCCTGCACAGCCCCAAACACAGAATTTTACACTCTTATTTATGTGCACTGGGGTTTGGTACTTAAATCAGTAATACCATATTCTTTCAAGGTTGAATGCTTATGCAAATAAAACATAATACTGCATTCTAATAATTCTGCTACCCATCTGGATCGGCAGTGATTTTGCAACAGGGAAATCTGCATGATTCTCCTAGCATTTGTTATTATGCACCCCAGCTTTGCATTCCTTTTACGAGGTTAATATTGTTGGTTTTATCTTCTTCTCTGACAGCATCAATCTTTTCTGAGTAGGGATTCTCACTTGTAAGTCTTCCTTATTTATCATACAACACATCAACTTGTCACTGAAAGATTAGGAGCCACATCATTTGATTGCATCAGTAATCCTTTGAAGAGCAAGAGAAGAATGATTTGGTGTATGTAATAAAATAGGTTCCATATTGTTGACTAAGATAAGGCTCTAGAAATTAAATAGTATGTTTCTTCTCCCTTTTGTTTAGATCTTCAATTTTGTTTTTGCTACCAGGTTATATGTATATAGAGCAGCGGTGAAATCCATTTACCTTTGCTACTGGTTTGGGAACGGGAGTGCGCTATGCGCATGCATGCCTCTTCTGCACATGCACAGAACCTTCTGCACATGCACAGATGGTTAAAAAAAAGGGACATAATGATGTTATGGGCCGGTGGGCGGAGGCTGGTGCTACCGGTTCGGCAAACCGGATAGAACCGGGGGGGGGGGCGGGATTTCACCGCTGATATAGAGACATAGTTCAAACTGAAACATAGACAAAACTGAATTTTGTCTATGATCATTAGCATACAGCTCTGTTATTTAGCAAAAAATTAATAGGTTTACTCTGAATTAAAAGTGGCCTAATACTTACTGATTTTTTCTTGTGGAATTTATATGATGCTGGTAGGTCATATCTCAGTTCTAAAAGTGAATTAAAAAGAATATAAGCTGTAATGGAAAATCAAATATATTTGAGAATTGATGAAATATATTAGCTGGAAACAATACATGCATGTATCATCTGAATATCTGACACTGGGTTATTGGACATGCTTATTACATAAAACTATCTTGTGTCTGATTGAGTAGCAACAGTTTAATTAGATCAACTTCTATAATGCAAATACTACCTATATTTAAGATACCATTATAAAATTATTTTCACAATAGTTTTGGATCTGCATATTTTAAAAAGTACAAAGGAAACAACTGTGAAACAATAGAATAAAATGATTAAAAGTAAATAAAACATGTTTTATCATCTATTTAAGACAGCTTTTATAAAGGTATTTGGTATCCTATATAAAGATAGTCTTAATATTTAAATGGGAACTTTGTGTGCCTTTAAACTGAATTTAACAATAATAACTTGTTCTTACCTGCTACAACTTCCATTCCTATATTCCATTCATCTGCTTTTTTCTGAATATGCTGAGCATGGAAGGAATGCAAGATATTAGAGGTTCTCTTGATTTTGATCTCCCTCCCCCCCCCTCTCTCCACTGAAAACTAAACTTCTACATTATGCACAAACTGTAGAGTGTTATAAAAAGTTTAATTGTAATATATCTTGAATATGCTGTTAATAAAATGTCTTAGGCTATTCCAGGAAACCTGATTTCAGCATTTTATGATTCTAGAACAGCCAAAATTTCTAATCTTGCGGTTTCATACAAGGATGCGTATTAGGACAAACTTTAGACGTACTTGTCGAGTTGATGTTTTGTGTAAGGAATACACAGCTATTCTTGCCATTTGCACAGCTGTCTTGAGAAAAGCCATATCCATACCTATAAAAATAAAAAAAGACTTTTAAGCCTCTTTTACTCAGTCACACTTAGTTGTTATTTCTCCTGAATTTCTAATATCTCAGTAGCCTGGAGCAATATCACCTACAGAAATAAAGTTGTCTTGTTGGTGTTAAGAAAAGCTTGATAATACAGTTAACACTGTATATTATCTAGCTTGGAGAATACACATTTTTATTTCAATACTAAGTGCCTAATTGATTTCAGTACTACAGTGACTTGCAACCACAACTGAGGCCAAAATTGTGAAGTGAGTTTTCCCCATTTTACGTGAATCACTGCAATTCTTAAGTTAGTAACATGGCTATTAAGTGAATCTGGCTTCCCAATTGATTTTGCTTGACAAAGTTTCAAAAGGTGATCATATGACCACAGGACACTGCAACCATCATAAATATGAATCAGTTGCCAAGTGTTTGAATTCTGATCACGTGATCCTGGGGATGCTGCAACAGTCGTAAGTGAAAAACTCTCATAAGTCACTTTTTTTCAGTGTTGAACTTCAAAGAGTCACTAAATGAACTTTTGTATATGGAGTACTACCTGTATTAAATATTCAGTACTTCCCCTATTCTCAACAGACAGCAAATTGAATTTTATTAAACATTCCTGATTAGTACATATGTTTTAATTCAGTTTAAACAATTCAGCTGTTACATAACCATCTGTGTTTAGGTATATTGCGTCAACTATTTCTTATATTGAATTACAAGTTCTAACATCAGAGATAAGGTTTGGTTTCTGTCAGATATTTTTGATTAACTCACAAATAAATGTACTTAATAAACACATAATTGGTTAAATAATTATCTAGTATGTGCTAAAATATCAAATGCTTTTACCTTAAATATAGAATGGAATGTACAGTCCTAAAATTTGTCAGACTGGGAAACAGATACTTCTGTTCAATTTTTTTCAATAAAAGTTCCAGTAAAATCATATTCTTATATGAGACATGTCTTGCAATTGCAGGATTTGAAAAATCATGAATTGAATATTACCATGTAATTTAAGGAAATCTGTTCTGTAATGGTAGAAATGTGTTTATAAAATGGAAGCTATTTTAAAGTTATACTTGTTTTAAGACAGATAAAAGTAGGGACATAAAGAAATTGAATTTATGGATGATTGGTGGAACACAGTCTAAAAAAAATTAAAGGGATAAGATATAAATTAACCTTGCTTACTATGAACAACAGAATGTAACAAATTCAGCACAAAGGTTTTAAGGTAGGGATGAAGAATGTTTCTTTATATTATGTCTGAGGTGAAAGACATCAATGGCAGCTAAGAGAAAAGGAAGTATTGGTTCACTGTGGCAGTATAGAAATGCTGTAAAATAAATAAAATTAGATAGCTTTTTTAGGAAGTTCATTCCCATTCAAGGAAAAAATGGCTAACCTTTATTGTGCTTAGTTCCAAAAGGAGGATTCATAATAACTGTATCAAATGTTTTGGACATTTTATCAGGCAAAGAACATACATTGCACTGAACCATGTCAACATTTGTAAGGTCAAATTCTTCAGCATTCCTGTTAAATACTTCCAGTGCATTGGCATCTATATCAAATCCTATACATAACCTGGGAAAAATATAAAGAGAATTATAGCAGCACATATTACTTTTAAAACATGTCAACTCTTACCGTTAAACATCCATTTTAAGATTAATTTTAATAGTCTTTTGATTTTGGTTTGTTTTTTTTTTGTTAATGAAAAAATGAACTATTAGATTTCTAAATGTCAGTTATATAAATTTTGAACAATTAGTCAATGTGATTTCATCTTTGAATGATTTTTCATGTGATGCTATTTCAGTAACAGACATTAAAATTTTGAACTATGGAGTATGTATCCTATATCATCTCTGATACAGTTTACTCATACATAAACTAAGTACTAATTTATCACTAGCCTAGCAATACGTTTTAGATACACATTCTGTTTAAAATAATATGAGTAACTAAATTGCACTGTTAATTAGAAATGTGTCTAATCTGTATTTATAGTACAGGTAGTCCTTGACTTATGATCAAAATTATACTTGTAATTAATGGAAGTCATTAAGTGTGATGTCAGTGTGAAGTGTGAAATCAGGCACAGGCATGTGACTGTGCCTGATTTCAGAGTCTTCAGTTGTTAAGCAAATGCCACTGGTTTATTCAATGAGCATTTTTTTTTGCCAAAACCGAGAAGTACATATCAGAAAATAGCAAAAACTACCAAAAATTGCAGTTGTGAGACTGTGGCATGGTGCAAATGACCCTCAATGCAATCCAGTTGTCAAGCACCCAAAATATGATTTGATGCAGATGTATGTTTGTATATGGCCATCAGAACTCTGGAACTACCGGTAGGTTGTAAGTAGCTCAGGGAGATTTGTCCTAACTTTGAATGGTCACTAAGTGACGAGTTGTTAAGCACGGACTCCCTGTAGTTGGATTGAATGGAGAAGATCCAATTTGACTGTTATAACCACATAGCTTTTCTTGGTGGTAATGTAGTAGTGGCTTGTCATTACCTTTGCTTTATTCAAGGATGGTTTTTTTTAACTTCGTAGTTTAGTTTACAGCCCAGGGATTTCCTAGTAATCTGATTCTGATTAGCTTTACTCATGGTTCATTAAAAACATGCAACAATCACTTTCTAAAGCTACCAGTAACATTTAGATGGACTTATTTAGAGATGATATGGCTCCTTGTTTTGACGTTCTTTGTTTTGAAGTACCCCTGGTTTTCATCCTTCCTCATTAGTTTAATATTAAAAAAGCAATAAGAAAATGAGATTTCTTACCCTGCTCCCAACATGGCACTTCCAATGCTCAGTATGCCACAACCACATCCAAGATCTGCCACAATCTTGTTTTCAATATCATCAAATGTATTATGAATTGTATAAAGCATACATGCTGGAGAATAAAGACACACAGGTAACAGGTTCAGAGCAAATACAAACTATACTAAACAAATGGGTGAATAAAGGCCATCTGATTTATTTCTTTATTCAAGCAACATTTTATTCATCCATAAATTAATATATCAGCAAACTTTATAACAGTAATGTAATATAACACCTAAGATGGCTACAATATGTCTAAAAGGCAAATAAAAACAAACTCAAGTGGCTCACACAAGTGAAATGCCAAGGCTTCCAAGGAAAAACCCTCCTTAAATTTAAAAATCTAGATTGAGAACAATGTTTGTTACTCCACTGAGCACACCTTATAATTTTTTACCCAAGTACTGATTTTTACAGGTAGATAAAGTATAGGAGAGAATCTAATCAAGAACTTAACAAATAAACTTAATAGGCATTCATTGTATAGGAGACTTTATCACTTAAACTTTAACAGAATATTAAATTCCCAACTTCTAAGATTCTTGGAATAAAACAATCAGCATTATTATATTACATAAAGAACATAATAATTTAATGATAACATTTAAAGTTAGCTGTTAGAATGTGTAGAATGTGTAGACCAACACTATATACATGACAGAGAAGAGTAAAATTTACCTGCAATATGTGGCGGAGTCGGATATTGTTCAAGCAGGAGTTTTGGATTCTCAAAGACATCAACTTGTTGCAAACAACTCTCAAGTTCTTTAAGTTTTAACTTTTTCATACTTAGGATTTGATATTTATAATCAGTTACATAAAGGGAAAGAATGAATATATACACACAAATATTAATGGTTGTTTCCTAGTCTGTTTTACTTTGCTTTGTATAATCTCAATAAAAATGTTTTTTAAAAAAACTTAAAAAAACATTTTAAAATACAAGAAAACTCAAAATTTATTCATATGTATATTTCATAATTCTTTAAAAAAACCCATCTCCCTTGGATGACAAAATGGTATCCAACAAATAAACTAGTTCATATTACAACAGACTAATCATCTGGATTTGCATTTGATTATGCTATAAATTATGCTCCACAAACCATAATGGCTGTATTAATACAACACACTAAATTAAACATATACTAAAGAAGGGAGTATTTTAAAATGTGAAACCAGACAGGGGGAAAAAATCTGTTAATTTTTATGCTCAAAATTAAGTGTTGCTTAACTTTAAACATCGCAGAAAGACAGATTACAAATTCAATAAATAAAAATAAAATAAATAAAAAATGGAAGAACTATCTAATAGAATAGTTAGGAAAATTTAAAATGTTCCAAAGTAACGACCTTACATTCTTTCAGATGGGCATGGATGGGAAAAATTGGGGGAAGGAGGTAGCTACAACTTCATACTTCTGAGTTTATAAACTGAAGTTAATTCTGAGAAGGATTATTGTATCCACCAAGTCTCTTTCCAGTCGAGCGTAGACTCCAAGTGTCTTAATGGATATAAGCAAATAATTTCCTGCTTGTTTTTTTCCCGAGTTTCCATTAATTCTGGAATAAATTTGCTGAACATCCTTATACAGGAGGAAAACTAAATTAACTGTTTTATCTGTTTATCCAAATAGAGAAATTATTTATACAAATAATCGCAATATCGCCTCGAACCTCCACCTCCTAGAAACATAGAAAACGCTTTTACCTCTCTGCCCTTTTCTCAGCGATCACGTATTTCCGCTTTGTGCAGGAACTTAAGCCATCCCCCAAACAAAGGAAACAAAGTTCCGTGACTTCAGTTCCTATCCAGAAAACAGAGCACAGGGAACCTTTTTCCCAGGTCCTTTACTCTGGGAAATCCTAGATGGGATCTCAATTTGGACACGTCTACCCGGGAGAAAAAAAAAGTTTTAAAGTAAAGAAGTTCGGTTTAGGTGGATTGTTATGTAATGCTATTATCCTTTATTTCCCCGGACTTTTAAAGAAATAAATCAGGCAACGCGCAGCAGTACGGTTTTACTTACACACAAATGCACAGTTAACAGACTAACAAGAGTTGGAAAGGATCTTGTAGGTCAAATAGTCCAACTTTCCCCCCACCCAAGCAGGAGACCACATAGTACACCGCTTCTGACCATTCAGTATACCATAAAGGGGTGAATACTTTCCATACTCTCACAGGTTTGATTCGATTCTGCTCGGTTCGATCCGTCTCAATCCCTAGAAAAATGCTTCAATTTAAATGTGAGTCATCTGCTTACGATTATGCTCGTAAACTTATCTAAACACCAAACAATACTGAACCTGCGGTAACTGCTGTTCTAGGGTTTTTAACGCCTTCTGTGTCATGTCATTTTCGACTCCTAGCGATCACACAGACGAACGCCTTAAGCAACTGTTTATTTTTCACGGTTGCCGTTTCCATTTGCCCTAAGATTATGCATTTTATTTCCTGCTCACCTCATCAAGGCTTGTTTTGCATGTCCACATTCTTTTGGCTTTCACTGTGCGTTTTATGCACACGGCATAATCGTCTGGGGGGAAAAAAAGCCTTGCTCTGCAGGTATGTAATAGGCGGCTTTCTCTACCTTCGCTAGAAATGGATGGCACTTGTTCCTTTGGCACGGAGAGTTTCCGATCGGAAAGGTTGTTACACTAAAGTGCCTGCTAGTTGACCGTTTAGCAACAGCTTGCTATGTAAGAAGACTGGGCAAGTGCCCTGCTTCATCCCTAAGAGCTTCTGGTCCTGCTTCCTTTAAGTTTCCACCCAGTCATAATCAATGCCTAACAGGATCGCGTTCGTTAAAGGAAGGTGGTGGGCAGAAGAACTTGGTGACCGCGAGAAAAGTGCCGCTCGAGGTCCTGCGCATGGAGTGCGTGCGCGTATGCGTGCGAACCTAGCTTTCCTTTCCTCGTGGATTAAAATCTGCTCAGGGGCAAGATCATTCCTTGAAACAAGCACGCGGGGATTGCAGCTCTCGGTTTCCCCGAATCTCTGTGATGACATCTTCTCTTCCGTTTGCCGGATCTTTTGTTAAATATAGCACTTTCTCTCTCCCGTAATTCTTAAAATGGTTTCTCCGTAATAAAAGTTACAGCTACTGCTGCTCTCAGCTTAAATCTCTTGAAGATGAACATTTATCAGGCATCAGCATTTTCCCGCAGGAAGAATTAGGAGATTAAAAAAAAATACTTATTGTCAGTTTTTGCCCCCCACCATCAGTAGTGCCCCTTTCCTCAATGAAAACCTAGAACAAAGAATCATAAGGATGGAAGGGATTTCAAGAATTCTTCTAGACTAGTCCTTATACCATATATGTGGGTTTTTTTCCCGAATAGAATAGAATTAGAATAGAATAGAATAGAATTTTTTATTGGCCAAGTGTGATTGGACACACAAGGAATTTGTCTTGGTGCATACACTCTCGGTGTACATAAAAAGAAAAGATACCTTCGTCAAGAATCATAAGGTACAACACTTAATGATAGTCATAGGGTACAAATAAGCAATTAAGAAACAATATCAATATAAATAGTAAGGATACAAGCAACAAAATTAGTCATACAGTCATAAGTGGAAGGAGATGGTGGTGGGAATGATGAGAAGATTAATAGTAGTGCAGACTTAGTAAATAGTTTGAGTGTTGAGGGAATTATTTGTTTAGCAGTGATGGCATGTCTTTCACTGTGAGTTGCATTGAGTTGGGGTGGGGGGAGTGCCCGAAGGGAGGCTCAGCCAATCTCATTATACACATGTTGTACTCTGACAATAAAGGTTTGAACTGAACTGAATTGTACATGCATAATTTTATTTATTCAACTTGTCATGCTTATGTTTAAATTAGAGGTGGAGAGACCCTTTTGAGAGCTGTAGGCAACATCCTTTCATTTTAATGTACGCCGATCAGCCGTACATTCAAAGGGACAATAAAGTTATTCTAAGTTCTAAAGTCTATTCCAGCCGAAGGGCCACCCGATCCACTTTGGAAAACATCCCGAGGATGGAGCACCCACCACTTTCCAAACGGCTCTTCCAGCTGACCCGCTGGGGAATGAGGGTCCCGTCCAACCGAGACAAAAACGGGCAGCGTTTATTATCAGCACGGCCGCCTCTCTCTCTCTCTCTTCACCCGGGGAAGAGAGAAGGGGGCGTCGGGAAGGTCTCGACTCTCGGGCGGGCAAAGCAATGAGGGAAGCCGGCAAGCGAGACCGCCCAGCGCTGTGGCAGAAGGTGGAGAGGCAGAGAGAGAGCGAGCGAGAGAGAGAGAGTACTGTAGGCGGCCGGGGTGCTGACTTTCCCGGCTATCGCGAGAGGCGCCGCTAGGAGGGAAGGGAGGGGAAAGGCGAGAGGGAGGCAGGTGAGGGGAGAAGCGCAGCCAGAGTCTGAGGAGGGTTTGCGCCGCCCGCAGCGGCTGCCTCGGTTGGAGCGACGTCCTCGGCCGCCCTCATGGCGGGTGCGGGAGCTGGAGGGGGCGCCCAGGAGAAGCGGGCCACGGCGGTGCGTCTGAAAGCGGCCCTCGGCGCCGCCGTCGCCGCCGAGGAGAGCGAGGCTGCCGGAGAACTCCAAGCGCTCCTGGAGCGGGTCTTGGGTCCCCTGACGGGCAGCGACGACGCCGAGGCGGTGTCCGAAGCGCTGGGGTGGTGCCGCTGTTTGCTGGCGGGAGGCGAGCCTTGGGACAGCTTCGTGCAGGCGGTGAGGGCCTACGACCCGGCTACGCTCTGCGGCCTGGTGTGGACGGCCAACTTCGTGGCCTACCGCTGCCGGACTTGTGGCATCTCGCCTTGCATGAGCCTCTGCGCCGAGTGCTTTCACCAGGGCGAGCACGCCGGACACGACTACAACATGTTCCGCAGCCAAGCGGGGGGAGCCTGCGACTGCGGCGACGGCAACGTAATGCGGGAAGCCGGGTGAGTATCGCGAGTGGAAACGTCTCTTACCCATCCCCCCCCCCTCCGCAGCTTGCGAGTGGGAGGATCCCGAGGGGGCTCCAACCCCAGTGTGGGGTTTAGAAGAGCCCCGAATGCCCCCCTTTCTCCCTCTCCCCCTCTTTCTCCCAAGTTTTCTTTGAAGGAAGCACACGTGCAAAATAAATAAATAAATAAATAAATAAATAAATAAATAATAAAAAAATAAACAAACAACAATCACAAAACATACATACATACATACATACATACATACATACATACATACATACAATTAGGGCACTTGGTACCATGTCCAAGAATTTCACAAAACACTTCAAGAAACTGCAGCTTCCTGCAATAACACCAGCAGAACTGCAAAAAAACTGCGCTACTCGGAGCATCTTATATTTTAAGAAGGTACTTGGTTGATACCTAGGACAGCTGGCAGGAACCCCCGTATCAACCATTAGCACCAGTCAATGGTATTCGTGACACATTTTTAAATGTCCAGTTGACTGAGTTTCATTTTTAATGAATAAAAGAGAATAACAATAATATAACTGTGTATGACAGGGCTGTGATCCGGAGGAACAGGTGGATGGAAGCTCAGTATAGAAGTAGCCACCTAGCCTGAGGTATCGTCCTATTTCATTGGGAGTGTAGTAATTCATCTTTGTGGGCGTCTGCTTTTAGGATCCGTACTCCTAGTAGATAAGACACGGTACTTTTGTGCCCATCTAGTACAGGTAGACTTCAATGGAGCCCAAAATTTCCATTGCTAAGTGAAACATTTGTTAAGTGAATTATGCTCCCATTTTACGACCTTTCTTGTCACAGTTATTAGGTGAATCACTGCAGTTGTTAAATTAGTAACACGGTTGTTAAGCGTATCTGGTTTTCCCATTGACTTTGCTTGTCAGAAGGTCACAATGACCCCGGGACACTACAATGGTCATAAATGTAAGTCAGTTCCCAAGTGTCTGAATTTTGATCACATGACCATGGGGATGTTGCAACAGTTTGCAAATGTGAAAAACGGTCATAAGTCACTTTGTTCAGTGCGGTTGTAACTTTGAAAGGTCACTAAGTGAACTGTTGTAAGTCGAGGATTACCTGTACTTTTGTGTCCATCTACTATGTGTTGAATCAGGGATAAGCCCCTTGAAAGGAGCACAACCTCATGTGTTCTCTGTAACATCATAGATACTGCTCCCAAAATGTATGTAGAATCTGATATATTGTGATATAAATTTTTGTGGGCATGATGAAGCGGGTTTAGAAACCATAATAAATTTATTTGTCTTTAAAGGAAACCTAACTCTTACATTTGTTGCAAAAACTGACTCTTACATTTGTTCCACAAGCTACATTAGTTTGTGAGTTACAATCCTTACTTCAGCAAGGAGTCCTAAATTATTCTTAGAAAATATTAGTTCTTGGACATGGAAGTTAGGTACCAATATTTCTGCCAGCCAAATTCAAACTCTTGGGACATTTTTCTTGGCCCCTGGAGGCCTATAAGATTTTGCTGTTAAAAGTCTGATAGGGTTAGTATATCCATAAAAACAAAAGCGCAAACATGATAGAAGGCAGAATAATGTGGCTCCATATTTCCTGATTTGTGCCTTTATGTATGAGATTGCAAAATATACTATTAATTAAAGATACAGTTCTCTTCTTTTACTTCTTTTTATTCTGTGTTTTTCCTGATGGTAAAAACATTGGCTGGACTGACTACACCATGCCAGTGTATTCATGGTTCTGTATAATATATAAAACCAGAAAATTGTAGGGTTAAATATCTTATGTGAATTCGTTCAGTAGTATCCTCCTTGCTAGCTACAGGTCAGCAAGTTGTAGAAGTTTCCATATAGTTTTTCTATATTTTCCCCCAAATGCCCATGACTATATACTATATACCCCATATACTCTTAACACTGGTAGAGATTATGTCTTTAGCCTTTCCATATGAATGTTTATATTATTAGGAGGCTTTATAAAGTTGTCAATAGAAGGTCCGTGCTAGGGCTCATTTTTGACATTTGGGAAATAGAGAAATCCCACATATCAAATTATTCTTGTCTATAGTAGGAAATAGAGGAGACATGGAGCACACAGGTTGTTGCACTGAAGACTTGTTTCTGATTTCTGTCCAGGTTAAATCCTGGGACAAAATAATATCCAAGCAAATTACCAAACAAATTCCTCTCCAACATGCTTTTATTTTGTTCCAAAACAAAATGGGCTATATGTTTATCATAATTCTTGAAATGTATGTCGACTTCTGAATTTGAATGGTAGTGATGGGAGAAGGAGCTTTGAAAAATGATTTAACTAATACAGTATAAAGAGTAATGGAGGGCCAATGGGATAAATTGAAGGATGTACTTGAAAAAGATTAGAAAATATAGTTTACCTTAAAGAATGGAGGAAATACTTAAAATAGTGAGTTGGGAACAAGAAAGTAGCCTGAGAGAAGCGCTGACTTATAAAATGATGCAGAGAACTGCAGTGAAAGAGATGACACATGGGGCACATTTCCTTTTTGAAAGTAAGCAATGCACTCAAATATTGGGTAGAGCTATTGCTGGTGATGCTGGGATAATAGTAGATATAAAGTTGCTATGAGGGCATATTTTCAGTTCAGTACTTTATTGGCAGGATGAGATGATTGAATGCTGCCAAACTTTCCTGTCACAGAGAAAGCATGTGATAGAGTCATCCTATCCTCTGCCTCCATGTCAATAGTTTGA